GCTGCATTGAAGTTGCACAGTTGTGACTCGAAGAGACGGAGCTTCGCACGGAATGCTTCCATGTGCGCATACAGCTGTGGTACCAGCTGCTCTTTGCCTTGTAGTCTCTTGTTCAGGGTGTTGAGATGTTCAGTGAGATCAACTAAAAAAAGGCAGGTCTGCCAACCATAAAGGGTCACTGATCGCATGGAGAGGTCTGCCCTTTTCTTTCAACAACTTATCGATATTTGATCTCGGGGAATAAAACCGCTGCAGCACGGAGCCGCGACTGAGCCAGCGCACTTGAGAATGGTAGAGTAGGTCCCCGTATTCAGCATCGACATCAGAGAGGAACGCTTGAAATTCCCTGTGGTAAAGCCCTCGTGCCCGAATTATGCTGACCGTTTTCACAACTGTGTTCATCACATCGCCAAGCTGGATTATCTTGGCACAGAGGGCTTCTTGGTGGATGATACAGTCCATTTTGACAGCCTCACCTCCGCTCTCCTGCACCTTGGCACTCACCATAGAGGCCGTTCCTTTGCGCCCGCCTGTCATTGCTGGAGCCCCACCCGTTGTAATTCCACACAGCTTGTCCCATTTAAGTCCAGCCTGGTTAATTGAATCTGACACAGCTTCAAACATGTCCTTCCCAGTTGTTGTCCCCTTTAGACTCCGAAGATCGAGCAGTTCCTCCGTAATGCAAAAATTATCATCAACTCCCCGCAATTTTTTTTTACAGCTGTGCAGTGTCCGTGGCATCTGTGCTCTCATCACATGCAATCGAGTAAAAATCGAAAGCACAAGCTTTATCTGACACTTGCTGTTTTAAGTGAGCCGACAAGTCTTCAATTCGCCGCACAACCGTATTTCTGGACATACTAACGTCGTTGAAATCCTGCATTTCCTCCGGGCACATTATTCCCACGACTTTAGTGAGGCACTGTTTGATGAAGTCACCGTCTGAGAAAGGTTTCCCGTGTAGGGCAATGAGCCGAGCTACTTCATAACTGGGTATTGTCGCATTTTCTTGAGCTTTGTTAGCACGGAAAAAAACCCTGCTGCTGCGTTAGCAGGCTAGCTGCCATTTGCTTTACCTTCTCTCTCCGCTCGGCGCCAGTGTAGGACGTGAAGGTCTGATGTTTCGTTTCATAATGCCGTCGTACATTGTACTCTTTCATCACGGCAACACTCTCATTACAAATCAAACAAACACACTTCCCCTTGGTTTCTATGAAAAAATATATTAATTTTTCCACCGAGTCTGAAATTTTCTGCACTCGCTTGCAATCTTGCGTCTCTTCGGTTCCGGCATTTCTGGTGACCCTGAGCAAAAATGTTTTCTTCGATTGCTTGCTTTGTGGAGACGCTTCCTTGTTCAAGACAATAGCGCTACCTAGTGTTTAAACTAAGAAGTGCAATACAGTGGGCCATAGTCCGTTATATTTTTAGACTTTGATACGGGCCAATTAAAAATGGATTGCGGGCCGCAGTAGGCCCGCGGGCCGTAGTTTGGACACCCCTGCTCTCGATGTCACCCCTACCCATAACTGCATAAAACCCATAACTGCATAACCAGTAACGCCCCACATAATACAGGAGATGGCGCTCTCATTACAGATGCTCGATGTCGGAACAGTCTGTTGGTAATTACAAGCCCAGAGGAGAAGCATTTGCGAATCTCCAGCCCCAGTGTACAGAAGCAACACACGTCACATGAACATCAGCGATTTATTAAAGCAAGCTCCCAATACAAAGAATCACTTGAAACTGTTGACATGCATGTGTGGTGTTCACGTATGAAACCATAACCTTGAACTACATGATTATGAACAGGGAAAGCATATCAACCCTCATCAATACAAGCAGAGGTCGCATTTTTAAATGAAAACAAATAATCTCAGATGAAAGTGGCTAACAAATCTTTTGATGAACCCAGCTCTTCTACATTCATAGATATAGCAATATTGTAGTTTCTTTCGGTAAAGTCACCACGTAGAAGGGAAACAATAAAATAATAAAAATATAAAACAATAAAATTCTCACGACGTTTCGACTGCAACACAAGCAATCATCATCAGGTGTGAAGACCACAGCAAGAAAATGTGTGTTGCAGTCGAGACGTCGTGAGAATGATATTGTTTTAAATTTGTTGTTATTTTATTGTTTCCCTTCTACGTGACTTTACCGAAAGAACCAAGAATATGAATCCCTGCAGTCACGATAGCTTTAAATAAAGATATAGCAATATTCTAGTTAATTTCGGTAAAGTCACGTAGAAGGAAACAATAAAATCATAAAGAATATAAAACAATAAAATTCTCACGACGTTTCGACTGCAACACAAGCAATCATCATCCGGTGTGACAACCAAATTTTCTTGCTGTGGTTTTCACACCTGATGGTGATTGCTTGTGTTGCAGTCGAAACGTCGTGAGAATTTTATTGTTTTATATGTTTTTATTATTTTACTGTTTCCCTTCTACGTGACTTTACCGGAAGAACCAAGAATATGAATACCTGCAGTCACGAAAGCTTTAAATCAAGATATAACAATATTCTAGTTTAGTTCATGTGTAGTGGATTCAACTGAGTCGCAGACAAACTCTTTGGAGGCAACACATTTATTAACACCAACACTTGGGTTAACAGAATAACAACCTATGGTGGTGACCACCAGGCTAACTACACTAATTACAACATACAATGGACCGGACCACAGCTTGGGTCCAGGTCCACGTGTTGGAGACTCTGCAGAATGTAGAACGTAGACGAAGGTTTATTCAGGATGAACAACAGCGCCGGTCCCTCTGGGGGACCCGGCTTCTATCCTCTGCGGCATGGCTGGCCCCGCCCTTAGCCACGACCACCTTCCAGAATCCTCGAGCAGGATCTCGACCCTGACACGTGACCACCCCTAGCCCCCACTTGGGGCCCCTGAGTAGACTTAACCGGTCACATGTCCTCTGGGGTCAACCAGAGTGCCACGGCCCTTAGTAACTCCATTTCCATGGCCGGCACTCCCACACCCTATCCTGTAGGGGTCGGCACTGCACGCCAAGCGTGGTGCCATCCAGCGCTAACGATCAGTGCTCACCGAGCCCCTCTAGGGCCGGTACTGCACCCACATCCTCGTGGTATCCGCGATGTCGTGACACCGCACGCCGTGCCTCTCTCGGGCCGGCATTACACAGTGACATCCTGCAATGTCACTATACATGTAATGACGACTTGACACACTTCTCTTGAGATGGCAACTTTATTGAAGACACGTTCACTTGAAATGAGGCAGAGATCCCACTGCAACAGCCCCGAGTCTCCCGCGCATCTCCCCCTTATATACCAACACGAGGCCACGCCCCCCTTCTCGATCATTCTCGCCGACACTGGACGCTCGCTCTACCGGCAGACTCCACCGTCCTCTTCCGTCACCTGACCACGCTCCCTTCTCGAACATTCCTGTAGCCACCAGTCCCTGGTGGCTTGAGCAAAGTCAGGAGGGGGATTAATGAGTCAATGTACATTATGCATGCACATTATGCGAGCCCTAGGACATGTACCACATTTTTGAGCGACACTTGTAAGTTCATATTCTTTGGGTTTTTCGGTAAAGTCACGTAGATAGGTTCAAAGAAAATAACAAAAAGCCACGACGTTTCGATCACAACACAAGCGGTCATTATCAGGGGGTTAGCCTCTAAAGGCAAACTGTTTATAAAGGTTTGAAATGGGCGTAGCCCAAGTGTCATCAGAATGGGCGGGGCAGTTAATGTTAATGTAAGTGATGGTACTCGTAGAGGGCAGCGACGGCGCAGGTGGTGGGCTTCCACCAATAAAGGGCTGCTGCTAGTGGTGATGGTAGTAGTGGGCAGTGATGGTCCTGGTGGTGGGCTTCCACCAGTAAAGGGCTATTGCTAGTGGTGATCGTAGTAGTGGGCAGTGATGGTCCTGGTGGTGGGCTTCCGCCAATACAGGGCTACTGCTAGTGGTGACGGTAGTAGTGGGCAGTGATGGTCCTGGTGGTGGGCTTCCACCAATAAAGGGCCACTGCTAGTGGTGATGGTAGCAGTGGGCAGTGATGGTCCTGGTGGTGGGCTTTCACCAATAAAGGGCTATTGCTAGTGGTGATCGTAGTAGTGGGCAGTGATGGTCCTGGTGGTGGGCTTCCACCAATTAATGGGCTGCTAGGTCTAAAATGGGAAGATTACAGCCAGTTATGACTTAAACTGGTTGATGTCCTTCCAGTGATTGCTGAGTTTGTACCCATCTTCTCAGTTGAAATGGTGTCTGTGTCTGTATATATGGATGGCTTCATGAGCTAATCTGTGTTGATAGCCAGTGGGTTGGCAAAGTACCTTCGTCTTAGAGAAATCAATTTCGTAAGCCCACCGCATTAAAACAATGATCAGCCACGGCCGAAGTATTGGTCCTACCGTGTTTCATGTCTGCCATATGTTCCCGAACACGGTCCGAGACATGTCGCTTAATTTCCCCAACGTAACTACTGCCGCAGACACAGCTTAGTTTGTAGACGCCGGGGTATAGAATGCCACGGATCACATCCTTCACAGATGGGATCAGATCATGAATTTTTTGTTCTGTGTTAAATCGAACCTGCACCTTGTGTTTGCTCATGATTTTGGAAATATTTTTGGTGACCCCTGCTATGTATGGCAAGGTGATGGTTTTGATTGGGTCCTCAGATGGTTTTTTTCCCAAAGGTTGGGGTGATAGCTTTACGGATTGTGTAGTCTGAATATCCATTCATCTTGAGGGCTTGGTGTACGTGTTCCAGTTCACTGGCGAGATGATGGTCGGAAATACATCGAGCTTTATGGTGTAGAGTTTTGATGAGGGAATTCTTCTGGGATGGATGGGGGTGGGAGTCAGGAGTCAGGTTTTAGGTAGGCATCCGTATGGGTTGCTTTACTGTAGACAGAGTGGCCCATTGAGCCATCTGGTCTCTTTTCGATTAAAACATCCAAGAATGGTAGCTGTCCACCCCCCCCCCCCCCCCCCCCATAGGGATAAATGGGAAAATACAAAAATATATACAGGGTTTTTCGGGAAGCCCAACCCTAGACCCTAACTCTTAACTTTAATCACACTTAGGGGTATAGGGAACTGGGACTCTTTTGAGAGTCCTAGCTCCATGGTGTTGGAATTTGAACTCCGGAGTGTGGTTTTAGGACTCCCTGCAATGCAATGGAGACTCCTTAGCTTAGCAAGTGATATGCCGAGTAAACCAACGCGGTATTTAACAACATCCACAGCTCGACGAGACGAATTGATGGGTTTATGGCTCGAGTCTGTAGAATGTCAGGTTCTGGAGATATAAAACACGATTTTGACGAGACTGCACCTCATATTTGCTTATCGCGCGTCGTATTTTCAATGTAATTTTCAGGAGTGTCTGGCCCTTTTCCTTCCGAAATGTTCATGGGATTATAGAGAGCAGCCTAGGATAATGTAACTCCTCGATTGAAGGGATCGACACCCGTCTAGAAACGCCAGAACAAAGACCCATCATTAGCCGTAAAATGTTCCACATAGGGTTGAATGGGGGAACAACAAATCCATGTATACACGGTTTCTCGGGAGGCACAAATCGTACATGGATCGTGCTCTGCGTCTTTGAAACTCAGCCGAACAGCACGTAGCACTTTGCATGTGTGCCTTGTGGATCCGGTTACGTCGGTTTGTATGGAAGCCGATGCGGACTGTGGCTTTTTGTTTTTGCCGATTTGAAGCGCACTGTTCGGAAACGCAGTGCGCTTCACTGTTGCCGTGCGGATTCTCACCTCACCTTCAATGGTGGGACCTTATAGGCCAACATGGTTCCTCACCGCGGTGCTTTTGGTGCTCGACAATCCGTGAATAAATAAAGATTTACAGCGCAAATCGGCCACGGAGCATCTTTTATTGTCACCCACGCCAGGCGTTTTCCTTACACCGTTGCATTTCGTTCGTCGAAGACCGTTCCACTGGTTGCATGGCACTCGTTTTTCAGTCGTACGGTTCTGAGGTTCTACATTGCATGGGAGTCAATGGGAGACATCACGGGAGTTGTGAAGTGCATCTCCGGTTTGGAACATCCCACAGCGGAGATCTTTAATGCGCTGATCTCACCTCTCCGTGCTCTTACCGAGCTGAGTCTAAAGAGCTATACCGAGCACCTCTGCTTTTGTTGAAGTGCCCATTTACTTTGTGAGCTAAGGGCGCATGGGGCAGTGTACACCATGTGTGGTGTCCACCATAAATAGTGTCCACCATGAGGCTGGTTGGTTGGATTGCAGAATCTGGGCAGATGAGGTTAGTTATGATTGCTTACCAGGAGAGCCTCATTGATATCAAGACTCTTTCTGTGGAGGATCTTGCCAAGTTCTTTGCAGTAGTGGGTGATGATGCTATATGCAATCCCAATTGTCTACTTTTGCAGGTAAGTTAGAAGCATCGAGGTGTATTTTGGCAAACACCAATGATGTTTCCGATAGCTCTGAGATGAAACTAAAGAGCGTGGGAGGAAAATTATCCAGAACAGGGGAGAACATACAGACTATACAGAGAAAGGCGCCCGAGTCAGGAGTCTAACCCAGGAACCTCTTACTGTAAGGCACGAGTGTTACCTCTGTTCCATCACCCTGCCGCCCAATGGTTGGTGTATCGTGTCACAGAGCTAAGTGTGGGCAGGCGAGGTCCCAAAGGGTAGGTGGGCTTGGTCGGTTGTTTTGACGGAACCAGGTGAGAGGAGGTGTAAGGCTGGCGAGTCTGGATAGCAGAGGTATAACCGGTTGGTAAGTTCCACGGAGCGAAGTGCGGGCAGGTGAGGCCGGTCAGTGTGGACAGGTGAGCTTGTTGAGGCCGGGCAGGTGGAGGCGACCGCTGCTGAAGGCTCGCTCGGCCGCGTGCGCGGAGAGGCGCAGCGCGAACAGCTTCTCGCTGGTGATGGGGTGGCGGCCCCCCATGGAGCACGCCGGGTCATCGCCCGGCTCGAAGTAGTGACAGCGGCGCGACGCTCGTCCTTGCGGGGGGATGTAATCGTAGACGTCCACTTCCTCGCACAGCGACATCATCAGCATCACGCCTGCGGGGTCAGTTGAAGAAGACGAGGCTTGACCGGGTGCGTAGGGGGTTAAGAGCCGCGGTTTGGCTGAGAAGCAGGTGGAATGCCAGCCCACGCTTGTCTCCACACGAATGCATGTAAATATGGGGACAAAGTTAATCGGCAGACAACACAACTACTTTCCATATGTGTCTCTCCACGCAACAAAATTATAGTTTTTTGTATTTTTTACACATCCACATCCGGCAGCATGTGGCCGCGTCCGTGCGTCTCGCCGACTTTGCGCCTCCCACGGGACCCTCCGCAAAATCCGGGCCGCGGATCCCGGGGGCAGGCGCCCCGCCGATGCCGAGTCATCGTTAAAGCGCGGCCCGTGCTTGCGGGGCCACCGGTTTTTTTTGTCGTTGTTCGCTGTCGTATCCCTGCGCCCTCGTACCCAGGAACCCCGAGGACGTGGGGGTCTGGCGGCCGTGGCACCGGCCCAGGTTCTCCTGCACGAGGCCCCAGGCGCCGCGCACGAAGCGAGGGTGTAGCAGGTAGAAGTGCTGGCGAGGACGCTGGCGCCGATGAGCCACGTAGGCGTCGAAGAACGGCGCGTTCCTGTTGCGGTACCACTGTCAAACGGGGCAGCAGCAGTGGTGGAAGAGAGGGCGTTCAGAGACACTCGTGCGGGGTCACAATCGTTGTCCCCATTGTGCTGACGGTGCCATGTTGCAGAGACGAGGAAAGAGACCGTTCGGAAATTCTTACAGAGCAGTGCAAGTCCCTCGTGTTGACAATGTCATGGATACGTTTACGTGACCTTCTGGTTTACTCGGGAGAGGGAAGCGCTTGGCATATCTCTGAGCTGGAATTTAGTCAAATTAAGTGCGGAATCAAATGTAATGCGATGGGGGGTTTTCTTGTTGTTGTTGTGCAGTCATTGGTGACCGTGCTCAGGCAATAATTTATCTTCAAATCAAGATTGAATTTAATCTTTGGTTCTTTCGGTAAAGTCAGTAAAAAATGTCCTTGCTGTGGTTGTCACGCCTGATGATGATTGCTTGTGTTGCGATCGAAACGTCGTGATTCATTTATTTTTATTTATGATTATTTTTTTCACCTACGTGACTTTACCGAAAGAACCAAAGAGTATGGATCCTTGCTGTCACGAAAACTTCAAATCTAGAATCAAGATTGAATTTCTCTACACTTCAAAGAAACACCCGAGGCCTGGTCACGGGCGGCTGCCTGGATGTGAAGCAACAGCTCTAATGTCTGAGCCGACAGGTCACATCTTCAAGTGTAGGACCAACACCTCGGCCGTGGCAGATCACTGTTATAATTCAGTGGGCTCACATGACATTGACTTCTCCAAGACAGAGGTTCTCTGCAAGCCATCTGGCTACCATGAGAGATTCGTTCATGAGGCTATCCACATATACAAACACAGAGACAATTTCAACCGACAAGATGGATTCTGGCTTAGCAATCATTGGAAGGATTTGAAAAACCATTACGGGTCTTAATTGATTGTTCACGCTTACGATGTCTTTCAGACCGCATCCATTATTTTCGTCTCCCCCCTCTCTTTTCCGAACATAAATGGACTCGTCCATCTGAATAAACTGTCAAATCGCTCTCCGTGGTGCTAACGTAAAAAAAACACGCCACTTTTTCAAATTTTCTTGCTGTGGTTTTCACACCTGATGATTGCTTGTGTTGCAGTCGAAACGTCGTGAGAATTGTATTGTTTTATAATTTTATTGTTTCCCTTCTACGTGACTTTACCGAAAGAACCAAGAATACATATCTTCAAGTGTATTTGTTTAACAAGGTGATAGCTCGAGAGGCCAGGCGAGTGTTAAGTTGAAAAGGTGACGGACCTGAGTCTCCACAAACAAAAAAACAGAAATGCAAAGCACAGCAACGAAGCAGAGAGAAACCATGGCACAAACCAAACTTAAATAATCATAGTAAAAGCAACCAAACACGGATCATTAAGAAAACAGCACACGAACACAAATCAATGTTAACGCCAATTTCCGGTAACGGAAAAGTTGGCTTCAAGACAAACTCCCAACAAATTGTTTTCCGATCGTGCAATCTGTGTCACGTCACGCCGATCGTGGTATCGATTTAACGCCGCAAGACGAATGATCCAGTCGTGAATCTACGACTCTTCGTCTCGAGAACTGCTCGCGGAAGGGGACATCACAGAACTATTCCCGAGATCCCTTCTTCAAGGGGACCTCCAGTCCAACGCACAGCGGAGGACATCGCATTCTCCACCCTCTCTACCTCGTGAGAGCAACCAATGATGGGCGCGTGGCAGACAAACCTAACAATGAACATTTATAGACCTGGAATTTAGCCAAATTAAGTTGCAGAACCAACTTTCAAGCGGTGCGTGTGTGGGCAGCGATAGTGTAGCGGTTAGCGCTATGAACCATGGTGAACCGAGTTTGATTCCTGTTCACGGCCAACATCGGTGACGATTATTTTAATCGGTCCTGGTCCTCCCCTAGGTCGACTCAGCCTCAAACGAGTACCTGGCGCGATGTGTAAACGTCGCCAACTGGGGAGACAAAGGCGGTCGGGCGTGGTGCTGGCCACCCACCCCCTCGTGTACCGTTCCGGCCTTCATAGGTGCTCGCTAACAGCACTTGCCCCTACAGTCTGTTAAGGCTATATGGGGATCTCCACTCCAGCGCTGTCCTACCAGACAGTCTCGCCCCTTCACCTGATGAAGGCCGCTTGTGTTGTGGCCGAAACGTCGTGAGAATATTATTGTGTTATTTTATTTTATCAATTTATTATTTTATTCTCATTCTACGTGACTTTACCGAAAGAACCAAAGAAGATCTTTGTCTTTGTTGTTGTTGTTGTTGTTGCCGCTCGTGTGTGTGTGTTGTTGTGTGTGTTTGTTGTGTGTGTGTGTTGTTGTTGTTGCCGCTCGTGTGTGTGTGTGTTGTGTGTGTGTTGTTGTTGTTGCCGCTCGTGTGTGTGTGTGTTGTTGTTGCCGCTCGTGTGTGTGTGTTGTGTGTGTGTGTTGTTGTTACCGCTCGTGTGTGTTGTTGTTGTTGCCGCTCGTGTGTGTGTTGTTGCCGCTCGTGTGTGTGTTGTGTGTGTGAGTCGGTACCAAGGACACGTCGCAGTTTGGAGGAGGAGTGTCCCACAGAACCAGAATGACGTCTTTGTAGAGCGGGTCCGTGTGAAAGTTAAACTTTTTGCGCGTCACCACCTGCTCGCGCGATCATGGCAAGGGTCACGCGCATGTGGTTGTTGTATTTGGCACATCACGAAGGGAGGCGCCGACGTTACACACGCATCGGCGGCGAGAAAATTGATTAATCGGTGGCGTAATTATTTTTTTAATTCATGGCAAAAAAATGTGGACGCTGACGCTATAGCACGTAAGTGCCAAGACTCTGTTCGAATGGTTGCCACGTGATGTTTAAGCTGCGCTGTGAGTGAAGCAGACAGCGCAAATGAACCCACGGCAGCATTAACCAGGGCAACATTCCGGTTTCGAACCACGAACCTCGGCGAGGAGCTGCGAACGCGCTACCCCTTGAGCCTCACGGCTATTCTGAAATAAAATCACGAGGCCTCCTTTGCCAGTAGCAAAGTATAATAATAGGTTTTTTTTTACCCTCTTTTCTTGCAACAAAACTGAAGTGTAAAAAAACCTATTATTATATTCTAAAATAAAGCCGAGGTCTCCTCACGATTGAAGTGAAGAGGCCTCTCCACGGTGATTGGTCCGCGAGGCGGGGCTTTTGAGGTGATTGGCGGGAAAGTTTTGAGGGAGAAGAAGGCAAAGGCGCAGCCCTGCAAAGTGCTCGCTCACGCCACTTGCCGGCGGAAGGGGCCCTCGATTGCAGGGAGCGAAGGAGAGCCCCTCGCTAGCGAGCGGGAACTTGGCCAGCTCTTCCACGCCGATCGGACGTGTTGGAAGGGGTGAGCGTACTCACGCTTTAGGGGCCGTCCGTAAATGACGTCACGCGATTTTGGGCGATTTTTTTTACCCCCCCTCCTCCTCCTCCTCCTCGTCACACGGCGTCACAAAAAGTCAGACCCCCCCCCCTCAAGTATGACGTCACAAAGCTCTGCCCCCCCCCTCCCGTTCCCAAAACCATATTTCCATTTTGAAAATAAAACATTCTTCAAATCGCTTTAAACTATTGTCATTGTAGTTGCGTATTTAATGTGGCGCTGCACTCCGATGGTGTAGGAGAAAACATTTATTAAAAAGTCTGTTTAATTAAGTAGAACGTGTTGTCTATATTTATTTAAAGTTGCGCATTTTGATGTGACGTCACATTTCTCAACCCCCTCTCCCCCTTTTCCTCGTCACACATCGTCACAAATGTCTGACACCCCCCCCCCCGCCCACTAGGTGCGTGACGTCATTCATGGACGGCAACCTTACCCACCCACTCACTCACCCACGCATTCGCCACACCGCAGGTAGCAACAGATAAATCTGAAGGTTCTTCACTTTGGGATTCCTTCCCAGCATCATCATCGCCGTCATCATCGCCCACCGTCTCTTCTCTCGAGCACTTATCACGATGCTCAATTCAAGAACCCCTCATATCTAGTACAACCATTGAAACTCTGCGTGTTGCTGGCCGTTTGTTTTTTTTTGACGTGCAGGGCCTTTTTGACGTTTGTTAAAAAAATAAACAAAAAAATAAACAGTTTGCCGCGCCGAGAGAAGGAATAGAACCGACGGCCTCTGGGCACTCCACGTGCAGCTCGTATCCATCAGTTCCGAGGCCCAAGGCAGCTTGGGAATCGGGCTCAGGGGCAGGCACAGGGAGGCGATGATTGCACCACCACGTGCGCGATGGGGGGGGGGGGTGCTACTGGTCCATTAGAGGAGGCAGGGGGAGTTGCAAAAGCAGGAATAGATTTTTATTGGGGAGGGGGGGGGGGCAGCCTCTATCAATATATGAACCCCTAGCGAGATGACAGACGAGAACGATTTATAGACAATAATCCCGAGATGGATTGAGGTGAGACGTACGTACCAGGAACGAGGAGGTCATCAGCCAGCAGTGGATTGACTGAGCGGCCGTTAGCAATGGAATCACGGAGAGTGTTCCGGGACGGTTACGCAGCCGAGCGGTTGAGCGCTTGGCCCCGTCGGATTCGTGGTTTGAGCCCCAGCAGCTGCCCTGGTTAATACTGCGGGAGTATCAACCATGATACTAATACTGCGCGCGTCGTCTGCTTTAGGGTGGATGTTAAACATCCTCGTGAGGTTATTCGACAACAAGTATCCCATCTGTGGCAGGCGTCAGGGTCCTGCTTTAAAAAAAAATACAAACACTTTAATTACTCGTAAATAACACAATTGGGAAAAATGCACAAAATCGCGCCCTCCGCGGAAGATGATCAAGGTGCCCGTCTCGAGAGTCCCGTGGCTCGACCGGACGTGGCCTGTAACCCAGCACGGTGGAGGCGTGAAACTCCTTACCCCGTGGGACGACGAGATCACCATCTCCCGGCCTGCCAGGGGTATGGCGGTCCAGCGAGTGGGTGACTATCCATGTGTAGGAGGACTGCGTGTTATCCTTCCGACCCCTCCTCCACCCCGTCTCACTCGTGGGGTTCCCGCATGTGCTTCGTGTTCCTCCCACATATACAGGGTGCTTCAAATACAATGTTTGAACGCTTACATGGGACCATCGATTTTAATGGATAATACACGGTGACGTGATAACAAATGTAATGTTAATAGCTTCAGAAAGTCCAAGAGTCTCCCACGTGTTCGCCATCGTTGTCAACACGTGGCCTGGGATTTTCTCCAGGTGATCTCCTGAGCCCGGAGGCGGCAGCACGTGTCACGTGGCGTTGTTGCAAATTCTCAGAAGTGTGAACATTTTATTTCTGAAGCACCCTGCATAAACACTCGTTATAGAATTGGTCAAACGTCCAGTATAGGACCACAAAGCGTTGCCAATTGTCGGTGCCGGTGTTGGCTGCCTTCCCGCTTGACCGTGGTTCAATGAAGCGGCGTTTTGAGATGCGTGAATGACGCTTCGTAAATTTAAAGTATTACAGTATCATCCATCATCATCATCACAGTGCACGGGGGATAACGTCACCATTGAGTTGATTAGGCGGACTGTCGTCTTGCTGCCCACGTGTCGCTCGTATCCCGTGGTGGGAGCCGTGTTGAATCGCAGGACGGCGTCGTGAGAATCTGCACGTGGTCGACGCACAAATACAAAGTTACATAAATACACGTGCTCGGCACGGAAATACAAAGATACATAGCGACTATAAATAAACAGCACGGACCAATATGCTCATGATGACGGGGAGCGGCGCTCCGCGTCATCGGCAACTAAAGCAAAAGCTGAGCACCCTAACTAGCTCAGGGGCTCACGGATTCATGGCCAAAAAAATGCGTATATATATAAACCGTACATACAGCAGGGGTGAATGAAATATCGGCTCAAATTCAGAAGTAACGTGAGCGAGTTCATCGCAGAGCTGCACCTTCACCTCTTCGCTTCCATCTATCAAAAAACAACTCAACGCGCTTGTCAACAGCACTGCTTCTAAGTAATATATATTACAGGCGCCGTATCGGTAAACGGCCCTTCTCCATAGCAAATACTGTTCGTTGGCTGTAATAGGCTGCATTTGGTGTGAAACTGCTTCGCTCTGGTCACTCGCTCACGAGTGGTTAGTCACATTCCTTTCACTCGGACGTTGCTAATTATCACCACGGTTCCCGATGTCGTGGACTCGACTTCTTGATTCCACCCCCCGTGGTGGGGAATCCGTCTTCCAGACACCGCTTCGTCTCGTTCATCACACTTTGTTCAACCTCCACGCTGCAGGTCACGAACAACACACTCACCCAACCACTCACTCAGCCACCCACTCACTCACCCAACCACTCACTCAGCCACCCACTCACTCACCCAACCACTCACTCAGCCACCCACTCACTCACCCAACCACTCACTCAGCCACCCACTCACTCACCCAACCACTCACTCAGCCACCCACTCACTCACCCAACCATTCACTCATTGACCCACTCACCCACCCACCCACTCACCCAACCACTCACTCAGCCACCCACTCACTCACCCAACCATTCACTCAGCCACCCACTCACTCACCCAACCATTCACTCATTCACCCACTCACCCACCCACTCACCCAACCACTCACTCAGCCACCCACTCACTCACCCAACCACTCACTCAGCCACCCACTCACTCACCCAACCATTCACTCAGCCACCCACTCACTCACCCACCCACTCACTCAGCCACCCACTCACTCACCCAACCATTCACTCATTCACTCACCCACCCACTCACCCAACCATTCAATCAGCCACCCACTCACTCACCCAACCATTCACTCATTCACCCACTCACTCACCCACCCACCCACTCACCCACTCACTCACCCACCCACCCACTCACCCACCCACTCACCCAACCATTCACTCATTCACCCACTCACTCACCCACTCACTCACCCACTCACTCACCCACCCACCCACTCACCACACTGCCAGGTCAGAACACGTGTGTGTCTGCTTCTTCTCTCGCACTTTGAAATCCCCTAGACATCGATTCTCTTCCCAAGTTCCCCGCCCCCCCCCTCCCACACACGCACACAACCTCGCTCATTCCAGTAAAATCTACGAACTCGTATTAATTCACGTCGTGCCGTTTATCGCTGTCCGCTTTGCGTCTGCTGAACCTCTTCCCGTCCTCCGTGATGTCAAGGCTGATCACTCACCGATCTCGGCTCCCATCTCAGCCGCGAGCAGCGAGGCCGAGTTCGTCACCACGGCACACCTCCTCCACCCCCTGCCCTCCGCCTCCAGCGAGCGAGCGAGCGAGCGGGCGGGCAGAGCTCCCGGCCACGGTAACGGCGACTCGGCGTCCAGGAGCTCGGTGCCGCTGTCACCGGCCAAGTGTCGCAGCGCGCACAGCTGCTGCTGGCGGGGCGGCACGGGGCATCGCCCCCAATCCCCGCCACTCTTCCCCCCCTCCCGCCTCTCTTCCCCTCTTTCCTCCGCTGTCTCCATCATCGCCCTCCATTCTTCCCACGCCCGGACCATCGCCCGGTAGGCGGGGGGGTCCTCCCGCTCGAGCCGCGGAGCCCCGCGCGCCGGGTTCGACTCCGGCACGAGGATGTCGGCGACGCGTCCCGGCTGGTGGCGATGAAGGGCAGGAGGAGGCAGAGGAGGGGGTCGAGCGTCGGGGAGTTGGACGAGGTGGAAGAGCACGTGGCAGGTTTGGAGGAGACACAGAGCCGTGTAGTAACGGCCGCTCATCGTGAAGGTCTGCGCTAACGTATGGGAAGCCCGATGGGTGACGAGGGATGTTGCAACGCCGAATACAAACACCCCGATACGCATCTGAGACGATATTGGGAACAGGCACTGCCTGAGACAGATGACACGTGGCCTCGCGAGCGCGCGCGTCAGCATGGCACGGGTATTGATTATAGATACGGCATTAGATAAAGGGAAAAGGTGCGGCCTTGCAATTGCTTGCTCACACCACTGCTAGCGGAGGGCTCGGCAGGGCCACGGCACGACTCGAATGTGCAAGTGGAAAAAGGGATGCGCGTGGGTTTATGTTTCATTGTCAGCGTGCTTCTGATGCGCTCCCTGCAGTCCCCTCGTACCGCCTCTCAACATTGGCACGGTTCCCGGCCAGGCGATGGTGAAGAAAACGCACACGGCACACACGCACGCACGTGTCTGAGTGCAACGATACGTTTTGGAGTCCATGAAATATCGATACTGCTGTGGTCACTCGAGAAAAGTCGTAAATTGTGGGCTGGCATCATGGTCAACATTTATGCCACGACAATATCGCCGTAGATACTACTGACTCTATAGTAGACACTACTGACTCTATAGTAGACACTACTGACTCTATAGTAGACACTACTGACTCTATAGTAGATAATACTGACTCTATAGTAGATACTACTGACTCTATAGTAGATACTACTGACTCTATAGTAGATACTACTGACTCTATGGTAGACACTACTGACTCTATAGTAGATACTACTGACTCTATGGTAGACACTACTGACTCTATGGTAGACACTACTGACTCTATAGTAGATACTACTGACTCTATAGTATACACTACTGACTCTATAGTAGATACTACTGACTCTATAGTAGACACTACTGACTCTATAGTAGACACTACTGACTCTATAGTAGACACATACTGACTCTATAGTAGATACTACTGACTCTATAGTAGACACATACTGACTCTATAGTAGATACTACTGACTCTATAGTAGATACTACTGACTCTACAGTAGACACTACTGTATATTGTATGTAGGCTGTGTAGGTATTTTTGCCAACAAAATACATTGATTTTTTCTGGGTGGGCGGGTGGTCGACAATTTTTGGAAACCGTCGGATCAACTTTTTCCCCAAGCATCTCGTGGGGGGAGGTCCACTTTCTATAACTTTTAGATTCGGGCCTTCTGAAAAGTTCTGAGAATTTAGTTGACGGACAAACGGAACGCCGGGCTTGTATCTATATAAATAAATACCTTAATCTGTATGTCTCAAATTCCTCGAGGGTATAAGTTAGAAAGCTGAAATTTGGTACATAGGTATCTTTTAGGACACAACCCACACTAAAAATCCGATATTTTTTATTTTAAGGCCCCCAAATCTCGATTTTAAGTGTCCCATAATGTTTGTGCATGCCATTCAGAAACCGTTCAAAATATAAAATTGCGGGTTTTTTTAGTTCGATAGAGCGTTAAACAGCAAATACAATTAAAGCGAGAACCATTGTTCTATTGTTTCGGATTCAAGTGGTTTTGAACGAAAAAATATGCATTTTGTGACGTTCAAATCTGAATAATTCGAAAACGGTAAAATATAAGCGCTTTCCCTCATTAAGTATTAAGTTCATTCCTTGTTGTTCTTTCGAATAAAAAACATTTCAGTTGAGTCCTCCCTAAAGGGCGAAAAAAACAGCCTTCAAGACTGGGAGGAGCAGGCTGCCTACCGCCGAGCGTGGTGCTGCTGTAGTTTATTGTAAAAATTCGGTCACAGTCCCTGTGATCACTGTTACGTTGCAATTATGGCTTTATTTTTTGGTGATTTGGAAAACGTTTTTTTGGTTTGGACATGTTTGTTTTGTTGTAGTACGGAGTTAGACTGATGGCCTTAATCTAAGTTTTCTTGTGGTTGTTGTTGTTTGACCTGCATCCCACTGGGATTTTTAGCACACAGCGTTGGTGTACGGTGCTTTTTTCAGGAATATTTTGGTGTTTTTTTTCATGGATTTTCTGTTTGCACAGTCACATAGTCACTTTACGATGTTTTTTTATTGTTCGTGTTTTTTTGTTTGTTGTGGTTGCACCCGATTCAAGAGCCGAATGGCTCACAGGGCTATACCAAAAATAAACTGAACTGAAACTAAACTAAGGCAGCGGTCAACTTCGAAACCCAACGTCTCGATGCCGAAGCGGATCGCCGCCAAAAAGCGAAGGGAAGCCAACCCGGCAATGCGGATTCCACTCCCATCTGGGACCGCGTGCCCTCAATGCCCAAAGATCTGCGGATCCAGAATTGAACTCCTCAGCCCACTTCAAGAGCCACCACTAAACCTCGACATCATCCTCGTACCCCTAAGGACTGCCGACGGTGTGTCTCCACGTGCGAGTATGGGAATAGAATCAGGCAGGCAGTTTTCGAGTTCAGAGGTAATAAGGTGCGCCAGGCATGAGTACCACATCAGCGGAATTTCCCTCCATCCCTTGTGGGCAGCGTGGCCCCTGAAACAGCGGCCCTCTCCGAACCGCAATTATGGACCTTGCGACACTCGATAATGACGGAGGAAGGGGCATGCATGAGGCGTAGAGGATTGATCTTCTTTGGTTCTTTCGGTAAAGTCACGTAGAATGAGAATAAAATAAGACAATAAAATTCTCACGACGTTTCGGCTACAACACAAGTAGCCCTCTTCACTGTCGTCCTGACAGTTCTGTTCTTTCACCTGCAAAAGGCTACTTGTGCTGTGGCCGAAACGTCGTAAGAATTTTATCGTCTTATTTTATTCTCATTCTACGTGACTTTACCGAAAGAACCAAAGAAGATGAATCCTTGCAGTCACGAAAGCTTTAAATCGAAATTTATGCGTAGAGGAGTTTCACAAATATCTACTGGATGCACCTACCCTCGCCTCCAATGCATAATGAATCACAAGAGTGCATAGCCACCATCACGCCTGGTTGCTGTACCACCTTAGTACTACAACAAAGCACCAAATTATAGTCGGTCTATGAAACCAAGACTTGAACCCGGGGTCTCAGGACTGCCAGCTCAGCACTCTGACCTCTTGACCCGTAAGTCACCTTAAACTCTGAAATAAATTCCCAGTTGATTACCAACCTCTCCACGCCACTGCTTCAGCTGCATACGAGAATCTCGCGAAATCTTTCAACCTCACAAACACCCGAGCGCAAACCACCGCTGCGGTTGAATCGCGTCGCAACGAACCGTTTTGGTGTTTTAAAAAAAGTTTTTATTTTCCGTTCACTTTTTTTATTGCTGGTATTCGTAATAACAATAAAAAAATGCGCGCAGGTGAAATGAATCGAGTGTCAGCGTCGCTTGTAAAACATTTCACCGACGCCACACACGTGTACGGGGAGGGAGGGGGGGGGCACATGGGTGACCGTGATTTTCGCAAGCGTAGCTTCATTAGAGTTTTATTTGCCGGTGAGATGGGATGAGCGGAAATGTAGCAGCGATGGGAGGTCCAGGGCTGCGGAGGGGCCACACGGGATGCACATGCACATTAAAAACACAATGGACGTAGCAAAGGGTTGAAGGAGGGTTCTACTGCGTAGGATTTTACGGTTGTGCTGGACAGCTCTTCGATACATTGTGTGTTTCCAGGTGATATCGCATTTTGCTCAGAGCGATGTCCAACGTTTTGCTCCATGCGTTGGGGGTTTCTTCAGGAACTCAATTCAGTTGGAACTCCTCCACATGCCGGGGAGCTTCTTCAGGAACTTACTTTTGCTTGAGGAGCTAAACTGAACTAAATTCAGTTATAACCGAATTTAGTTCCCAAGAAGCGCCGAGCATGCGAAACGTAACGGCAGACATCTAGCTGATCACGGGGTACACAACCTGGAATTGGAGAGCTGTTGAGAAGGGCCTTCACAACCAGCTGGGCTGGCGGAACTAACGAAACTACGCTCATGCAGTTCACGATCACCGCTCACTCGTAAATAGTCGCTGCCAATTTCGCTGCGATATGGTCCGAATGGTATGCACACGTGCGCGTGTATGTGCGTATGTGTGTTTTTTTTACAGGCACAGGTCAATAAAATGCTGTACAGTATGAACGAGCACAGAGGGGTTGTGGGGCAGAGTCAGGACTGAGAGGGCTGCGCATGATGGCAATTGGAGTGATGATTGGGCGAGAAATGATGCGAAATACTGGGGTTGAGCGGCGTGTGCCAGTAATATGGGACTCAGCCACCCCCTTAAGACCGAGTGACCTTGAGAGGCAGTTTGAACATGTGTCCAGCTCGGATTGCGAGACAGTTGTGTTTTTACCTCGATTAGATTGAGAGCTTTGTTAACTAAATACATGTGATCGCATTTGTTTTAAGGGGTTAGGCTACATCATCAATGCCAAACTTACGTTGTTAAAGTACTTGGTCCACAAAGGTACCACATACTTCTGGCATTAAACGATTACGTAGCCTAACCTCCCACCCCCCCAAAAAAAAAACAAATATGGATCAGGGGGGTCGTCGTTACTGCTTTGTTTCTCAAAGATGCCAACGCCTTTGCACACCTATCCACCACGCCACACAGCCAACATCTCAACGGGTGAGGTCATCCCAGGAAATCGCTCACCACGCAGTTCCTTCGCTTTGCGCTTCAGCAAAATCATCGAAATTAAGTGGCCCATATCGTTTCAGGCAAATGTGTGGGGCGGTTCGCTAAATTACGTCTCTGTCAACTTTTAGTTTCTCGTGTTTGGTCTTCGAGGCTAACACAATGCACGTCTCTCTGTCACCAAGTGAGACTTTTCCATGACAGCTATAGAACCAATAAAGATGCAATTCTATTGCACTGCGGGTTTTCAGACACAAAACATATATATATAAAGTTCCTTTGTTTCAAAACAGTTATGCGACCAGTATGAAATTTCTCTCATGAACTAAATAAAGGATATGTTGGGCTGGCGAGTGGGGAATGCTTTTCAAACGTACCACTGCCATGAATGTATCTGCAAATGAAACGATGTGGCATTGGCACGAATGGTGGGAGGGTCCTCGTCCGGTTGACAAAAAAATATCCCATATCCAACTGGACAGAGCCCCCCCGGGAGAAATTGTAAATACGGGAAGCGTGAGTTACACAAGGAGAAATTAATTGCTGCTGATGCCGTTCTTGATGACAATCATGATTGCCGTGATCATGACGATTCACTTTCAAGCGTCTATGGTCCGCAAAGGCAGCACACACTCCCGCAGTTTGTTCACATCGCAACATTCGCTTGTGAAATGCGTTTTGGTTTGCTTGGAGCAAACGGGAGAGCGGCGGGGCGAGTTTTGCGAGCGAGCACCTGGTAAGGCCCAAGCAGCACACAAGGTGGGAGTAGGGCCAGCTCCACACACACCCAGCTGCATGTCTACCCACTGCTGCTGTTGACGACCATACCAACGCAACAGGAACTCATTCTTGGCCGAGTAGACCTAGGGGAGAGGATTAAATTAGATTCCAGATGTCAGCTGCCATGAGTCGTGATGAGGAGTGGGCCAGGTAAAGATCCTGGGGGTTTGCTGGATTATTTGGTCAGTCTTTCAAACTCTGCGACACCCATCCCATAAGCACATCTACAAGACAAAGATCTCCCGTGTAGCCAACACAGGCTGATGGGCAAATTGTTAGCGAGCACCTATTAAGGCCCGCACGGCACATGAGGGGGTGGTGTGGCCAGTACCACACCCGGCCGCCTTTGTATTCCCAGTGCTGTTTACACACTGTACCAGCTACTCATTTAAGGCCGAGTCAACCTAGAGTGGCCTAGGAATTGTTCTAATTTCACCACTGATATTGGCCATGAGCACAAATCGAAATCGGGTCGCCCGGGTTCGTAGCGCACCGACCACTGTGCCACTACTCCCCCACGCATGCACACACATACACACGCACGCTCACATCGAGTCTTCGAGGAGCTAGCTGCAAATATCCACCCCGCCTACCGACCATGCCTGTGCTCCCCAACACCTGGATTTACACGGCAGGTACAAAGTCACGCCTTGGATTACTCACGAACCCAGATGCTCTGAATGCGGCGGGGGGGGTTCCCATTGTAACAGGTGCAATGCATAACTTAACACGTCCAGGGATAACACAAAACAAAAAATAACTCCAATGAAATCAATAACAAAAAATATGTTCCTGGATTGTGTGTGTGCGCGGGTGTAGATGAAGGGCGCAAGTGTGCTGCCGAGCCACGCAAAGTGCTGGGGGTTGCCACCGAGTGTCGCACACGCGTCCAAGCCATCGCAACCCCAAGTTGACCTCTGAATGCTAGGGTACGTAATCCAAGTCATGGCTTGGCTCTGGTCTGGCAGCGACTCGACTCACGCTTGAGCTGCTCAGCTGCTTTCAATGTCGCATGGGCAGCTCGGCTCATGGCTTAGCTCGGGTCTCAGCTCATGGAAATCCTGAGCATGATTGGGATGATGCTCAGGGCTGGCTCAAGTGGAGCATGGCTTTTAGCTGGCTCACAATGAGCAGGGAACTAAGCATGAGCCGAGCCGTGACTAAAAAAATACGGGCTTTACAATCACGACCATCCCATCCATCGCGCTGGGTGTGCAAACATATCCACGGCCACACCACCAACCACTCCCATGCTGGTGCAACACTGTACTATCTCACGTGCTTAAACCCACCAACTTCTTCCCCTCTCCGACTGAGGGCCACCCACACTCTAGCAATTAGGAATGTACACGGAATTAACGTTTCAGTGGCGCTAACACAAACCACAGCACGGCAGAGAGACCCGTAAAACTCGCTCTAGCAGCAGCAACGGGCACCATCAGATTGCTGTAAGCTCTAGCTCGGCCACTTCCGATGAAACATTATTTTGAAGATCCTAAGCAATGGGGTGTAGCGATGGATGAAAACCCAACTGATGAAAGACCGTGGACGACATCTCGTGAACGCGGAGGCAGTCACTAATGACGCCCAAGTGTGTAAGGGAGCCTGTCCTGAGATTTGACTGAAGACTGATTCTTGAATGAAGCTGTGTGGTGAACGAGTTGGAAAGAGAGGCCCTTGCATTTTCTGTCTCAATGTTTGCATTTGCAGTACTGTATTTATGCGTCCGTGTGTCTACCCGTTTCCATGTGTGTCCGTGTGCATCCAAGTGCCAGTGTTTGTGCATAGGCATGGCAGTCTGTGTGTTTGTCTGTTGAATAGGAGCCTGTGTGCTTGCTTGTGCGTTAAGTTTGTTGCTGTGCATTCCTGTGTGCATCTGTGTGCCTATACTTTGTATCTGTGAGCTTGTGCCCAGATAAGCCTGTGTCCAAATGTCCATGCATTTGTGTACGCCTGTGTGTCCATCTTTGTCCAAGTGTCCATGTGCACGTTGCTCCGTTGACCTGTATGTGCAAGCCGGTGTGTCTTTGTCATGCATTCGTGTGCATTTGCCGGGAACATAAGTTATTTAGTCAAAAGCGTTACAATCCATTCACTCACTCACTCGCACTCAAAGACTCACCGACCCTCCTAAACAGATCTCGGCCCCAACCAAAACCCTCCACACCTCAACCTCACAATCTCAGGCAAAAACCCCAATGGTCTTGCTACAAATAACACAATGCAGACACGCGGGAGACGAAGCTCGTCAGCTGTTTGTCCTTAAAGAGCCACCGCCACTGCCACCATTGTCATCGCCAGCAGTGCCTGAATGCATTACACGTTTTCCAGATAATCCCTTTTCCCGCCGTTCCGTTATTTTCTCACCCGCTTGATGCTCCAAATTGTAATGATGAAACCGCCATCGTGTGTGCTCAGGGGGGACCAGAGTTGGGGGGGGGGGGGGAGGCAGAGGGTTATGATGAGAGTTGTTGGGGGGTGGAGGAGGGTAAAGTCAGAGGAGGTGCACCCATGAGAAATTAGGCATGGACTTGCGCAGTGTGGCAGAGCGGAAGAGGTGGGTGGGGCCTTTGAAATCTCTGAATCTGAAAACCGCCTACGTCTACGATCGCTCTTGTGGTTTTTTTTTGGAGTCTGAAAAAATAGAGTTCCTCGGCTGCCCTGAATCTCGGGGGAATGTGCGCAGTTTCCATCACAGCTCGCGTTGTTACGGGCAGCGACGCGAGATGAGGGGGAGGGAGGGGGGGGGGCGGGGGCAGGGGGGAAACAGGGACGTCAATTTTTTTGTTTGTTTGTGTGTTTTTTTTTTTGTTAAAGGGATTTCCGCTGCCGTCACCAAAAGTTTTGGGCCGGTGCGAGTCGCAGTGTGGTGTGGCCGGGGCCCCAGCGGATGCTTCTGGGTTTAGAAAGCCTGCTGGGCCGGGTTGTAGTTGAGCGACGTGGGGAGGTGTGGCCTTTCCTCCAGCTTGTCGTACTCCAGGTGGAACTCCTGCGCGGGGCGGAGAGCACGGAGCGGCGCCGTGAGAGCGAGGACACGGACGTGGGCGAGAATTCGCGCGCGCACAAGTGCCGACGGCAGCGGACGCATGGTGCGGTACACGCGCGTGGAACCATACGGACGATAGCACATTCATTGGCACACACGCACGCACGCAACAAAACACATACCAAGGTACGGATGGTATCAGAAAGTAGTCCACTGACACACTAAGAGAAATACAGAAATAACAACGACAGCCACCCAAGGGACGACGGTGTGATGCCACGACAAGTGTTTGGGCCAGGCTAGATGCACCGTTAGGTCATGTGGAGTGCCATGAGCTCACTGACGGATACCAAGACACGCACTAACATGAAAAAAGATAAAATACAAAGATCCCCCACGTAGACTTTAACACTTTTTGGGCAAGCGCTGTTAGTGACCACCTATTAAGGCCGGCACGGCATGCACGTGAGTGGACTGGCCAGCACAGCACCACACCCGGCCGTCTGTGTCTCCCTCAGTGGTGATGTTTTCGCATTGCATCCGGTACTCATTTAAGGCTGAGCCGACCTAGGGGGAAGCCTACCACCAGTTCAGTTATACGTGGCCGGGTTCGTTGCACGACACAATAACCGCTGCACCACCGCTCCCCATTCATAAACACACACAAAGCGCACAGAACGGACATAGCACGCACCTTAGCGACCTTCCTCCAGTTGTGGCAGTCGAAGAAGAGGTAGGTGCCGCGTTCGTACGTGTTCGTCTTCATCTGAGGCTCCATGCCGGGCGCCCGCGTGATCCACACCCGCTCGTCCTTGTGGTACCGCCAGTCGCGGTTGTACCTGCGGAGACAGCCGAGGTCGCGGTGAAGGCCACAGTGGTGGCGGTGGCATCGACGTGGCCAAGAAGTGGCGGCAGCCGTCGGTTGCCCGGCTTAAGCGATGAAGGCTCAAGATTGAGAAACGCTGACACCTGGTGGTCAAGACGTGGAACTGAAATGCAGCGGGCGTTTTCTGATATCTGTTGACAGTAACACGTTGCAATGGATTGTTTCGTAATGTTTGGGTCTGTCTTAATCATTCTTCAACCAAGTTACCCCTCGACAGAGAAAAAATAAATACTGTCATGGGGATCATGGAGCCGTGGTCCATCCACTGCTGGACTCCCTATATCATCGCCTTCCTCACCGTCCCATGAAACAACGATCCAGGCCGCTCCTGCGCGCGAGTCGACCTCATCGATCGCTCCATCTCCACGATGGTCGATTCTCTTGGGTACGACCGACTGTGGCTGAGCGAGCGACTCAACTGTGCATCCCAGTGTCAGTGTAGGGGGCTCACAGTTCTACCGCCGCGGCAAGTTGCAGGATGTCGCCCCCGTTGGTGTAGTACATGTAGAAGAGCAGATCCTCCCCGTACCGACTCAGCTTGATGGGAGCAAGCTGTAGACACACACGCACACAGGCACACGTATAACCACACAGACACACACAGGCACACAAAAATCCACCGTATAGCCTTAACAGATTGTTGGGGCGAATGCTGTTAGTGAGCACCTCTGAAGGCCAGCACTACTTATAAACACAAAAAAGTATATACAATGGTCCTTCATGTAGCCTAGACAGACAGTTGAGGCAAGTGCTCTAATGAAGCAAACATGTTCTCACCTTATCCCTGATGTGAATGTTTGTCAGGTATTCTGAAGGAACGTGAAAATCTGCGGAGAGTCACATTAAAAGCCATTAAAACACATTTACGCGTAAGGCCACTTAATGGGCGCGCTGATCCAGCTTTGCTATGGGTGTGCGTAAAGCATCGCAACTTGGGTTCATTGGCAAGATCCTCCACGAACCCAGCACTGCTCACCTCTCACCTCACTCTACTCTCCTCCACGCACTCTCCTACCTCTCCCCTCATCTCAATACTCCCCCACAGCCAGTGGACAGCGAGAACACGTCGCCCCCGCGTTCTCTACACGCATCTCAACTCATTCGTTGCGTGCGACGTCAGCGGCACAGCAGGGCCTCCCGCAGTGGAAAAAAACGACCTGGCGCCTCCTGGGCCGTGCTGGGCTGGTTTGGCATGGCCCTGGCACGGCTCGGTTGTGCCAGTGGAAAAATCTAGGTTTTTAACATTATATATCACAATGCGTGTACAACATTGAACACGCTCGGCGGCGGATTAAACCACGCGACTACCCCGAAAGGTGGTGGCACAGGCGCGGTCAGCGTGCACGCGCGCCGGAACCGGTGTGCTCGGAGGTGCCACGTTACCGATATCCTGAGGTCTGCACGGCGCTTCTGCCCAAGGCGACGCGAACTTGGGGTAGAGGTTCCTGAAAAGCAAAGCACACCTTCTTCTTGGCAAGAAGAAAACCAGCAAACGATAAAAGGACAAACCACCAGACAGCGTTAAAACGGGGGCGGCTGCCCTCCTCCCGGTCCGTGCCAACGGTGGACAACGGTTCAAAGGTTAAGTAAGAGTTTCCAAAAAAATCACATCCGTTGTGTCCCGCTGCAGTTAGCAATCTTTCCCGTTCAAGTACAGGTCGAGCCATCACCCGCCGCATGCGTGCGATGATTTGTCAATGGGTCCCGCTGCTTTACGTTAAATTGAGAGATCGTGCGTGCGCACACAAAAGTCTGTATCTTAATATGAACTGGCATTTCTACGTTATGTGGTACACGCTCAAGAGATATTTTTTTAAGTGCTGTTAGTGAGCGCCTATGAAGGCACTAGGGGGTGGTGTAGCCAGCACGATGCTCGGTTGCACACACACACACACTACACACACCAATACACCACGTACACGCTAACACACGAGCGCACGAGCACCAATTAGTGAGCATCTAATAAGACAAGCACGGCACATGAGGGGGTCGTCATGTAGTTAGCACCATGCCCGGCCGCCTTTGTCTTTCCGACGCTGATGTTTACATGCTGCACCAGGTACTCATTTCAGCGTGCACATGCGCGCGTACTCGGGGGAGTTGAGATTGAGGCCGAGTGTGGTGAGGTCACTGCCGAGGGCCAGATGCACAAGCGACGGTTCCGTCTCGGCCGCCCGGATGAACGTGAGGAGGCCGATCATGCCGAACTGATCCGTCACCATCCCGCTCGGGATGTTCGTCACGCGGCCTGCTCATACCAGCACCACCGTCACCACCACCACCACCAGAAAAAAGACACGTCCTTTAAAACAGTGGCTCAATGGTTAGAGACGAGTGGGTTCCACTCCGGGTTTCAGAGGAGGCAAGGTGGCTCAGAGGTCAGAGAAGCGGAGGACCCATTGCTGTGGGTGCTAAGCAGGGGTTACCGTCTTGAAGGATCTGGATGCCCTTCTTTTGCTGGTTCGCATTGGTGTTGCTGCCCTTGTCTCCAGGGAACTTGGGTCCCTCTGTCACCGACCCCGTGGTCTGCCCGCTCTGATTGGTCAGCTGCAGTCACAAAAACAAACGGGGCAAGTTCAGCGACAAACGCGCACGACAACAATTACCTTCGTGACCATGCCCACGATGGTCGAAATATTGTACGAATTAACTCCGTCCATCTGTCCATCACGTCGGGGGGGGGGGGGGGGTTGACTCTTGTAAACATGACACAATATGAACAAAACTTTTATATTCAGTGATGGTGCTCATCAGGACTTGCCCGATACAAATCACCAGCAAGTGGCCCGTCGGTTTCTGTGCCGCGAATGAAACACTTCCCGTCGGAGATGATCACCTTGCCGCATTGCAGAACCCAGTTAATTCCCGGATGTGTGGCAGAAAGCCGGAGTTGAAACCAGGTTCTCAATAGTGCCGGCTCATCATCTCGGACTTTCTGAACCCCTCACCGTCTTATTGTCGTCGGGTGCGGCCGTGGGCTCCTTGTTGAGGTTGACGCCAGGCAGTGCCGGGAAGTCCTCGTTGTGGATTGAGAAGTCCTGGGGCTGCTCGCTCGCGGGCTTTGTCACCATGCCCACTGTGGGACACGGCAAGCACGCACGGCCTGCTCGAGCAAGGTGGGGGAATCCGGGCCCACGGGCCAAACGCGGCCCGTGACCCCATTTCATATGGCCCGCCCAGAGCATATGGCCTGTAGATTCATAGTATATGACCTGCAGATTCATAGCATACAGTCGACAAAATTCATAGCATATGGCCTGCTGAAATCCTTTCCTACGGCCCACAGATTAATTTCACACTATATTTTACTATGCGTGTATGTGTCTTGTGGAGACCCTACCCCCATAGCTCCATTCAATGTGCGTGCGGACCATATGTGTTCTGCTATAACCCTAACCCGCTAGTCCCTGTGTGTGTGCGCGTGCATGGGTGCGCGCGTACCATATGGCGTCCTGCCAGCCATGGGGTTGGGGAGGGGTGCTGGGTTGCCGTTGCTTTCTCTCCTGTTCCGTTCCGCGAGCGCCGGAAAGTCAGACAGATCCAACCCGGCCACCGTATCGCTGCCTCCTGTTCACGCAGACAAAGACCCCCCGTAAAGCCTGTAACAGACTGTAGGGGCAAGTGCTGTTGGCGAGCACCTATAAAGGCCGGTACGGCACATGAAGGGGGTGGGTGGCCAACACCACGCCCGGCAGCCTTTGTCTCCTTAGTGGCGATGTTTACACATTGCACAAGGTGCTCATTTTGAGGCTGAGTCGACCTAAGGGAGGCCCAAGATCGGTTCAGATAATCGTCCCAGGTGTTGGCCGTGAGCGGGTCGCCGGGTTCGTAGCGCAGTGCGCTAACCGCTACACTACCGCTCCTCACGCAGACACAACCATCATCACCCACCGTTATTCATCATCATCATCAGCTATGGTCGACCAGAGGTTGCTTAAGGTCTTCCCAAGCTGGCACTACCTCTATATGCTCCTGCGATGCAACCATCTACCCAGCACCTGGACACAAACTAATCTCATCACTCCATCTCCTCGGTGGACGTACATTCTTTGACTGCCACTCATTCTTGACCATCGGCCATTAATCCCTTCTAGCTAGGGGCGTGTCCTGCTGAAGCCCAGTCACTCTTATTGTTAACAGATTGGATAAGGTAATTAACCCCAGTATGTTCTATAATGCAATAGTTCCTCTTTCTGTTTCCACCACTGTTACCCACAAAATAATAGTAATTTGTTACTGATAAGGCACCCTAACCATCGGGGTGAGCGCTTTAAACTCACTTACCCGTGCTGTTATAGCTGTTGTTGGTGATCGCGTTGCTCAGACTGTAACCCTGGCTCCTGCCAAGGCCAAATCCTGACATCCTGATGGCCAAACACATCACAGCCGCACAGCACAAGCAGTGGTTAAACATTCCACTTCATTCATAGCGCATCTTTGACATCACTTCATTCATTTAACGTCATTCCTAACATGTCATTCATTCCGCAGCATTTATTGAGCATCATTCGTAATGCATCCCGACGACAAGAATCCAAGAAGTCAGAATAACCATGTCACCTGACCCAGCTTCTTACATGATATTCTGACTTCCTGGATTCTGCAAAAAATGCTTGAAGTAGTTTCAAGCTAAATGCCGCGTACCTAATCGCTACATCTGGTTGCGAGAATCGTTCAACTCAACAGTCATTGAGCTGAAACAATAACGATTAGAGCAGTGGTTCTTAACCTTATTGGAGGTGCTGAACCCTGCAAGCTTCATCAGTGCATTCACCGAAACCTTCGTAATTGGAAAAATAAAATATGATTTCTTAAAAACGTAGGTATATATTTTATTAGTTCACAAAATGAACCGTGCATCAGTTGCACACAAAATCACTGTGTTCAAAGAACAAAACCAACAAAACATGAATTTCACACAAAAACATAACTCAATGAATATTTACTGCAAATCAATGTGACTTTTGCTGTTGCCTTTCAGATACAAGTTCAGAAATGCGTGGCTTCACCTTGGCAAGTGCCACTCTCATATCATTTTCGAAACAAAGTCTGTTCCTTTTCTTGTTTTTACGTCTACCATCCTCGAAAAAGATTGCTCGCAAAGATACGTTGTAACAAACGGTGTGAGTATCTCAAGGGCTTTCTTAGCAATAAGACGGTATGGTACGATTTGGTGACACCAAAACGTTGACAGCATTGTTGTTCTGAAGAGTTGCTGTTGAAGCTGGCTCTGCTGACGTTCAATGATTTCCTCGAGGTATTCATCGTTGACATCTGCTGTCGCAACACTAAACGTGAACGGCTGTCTCACCCATGCTGGATATGACTCTCTGGTGGGGTAGTATCCGTCGAGAGACTTTGCGAGCTCATCTAAGTGCATGGCAATTGCTTGCTTCAGCTCCCCAGGTACAGAAATGTCTCCAATTCCAGACACGTCTTCGATCTTCCTTACCACAGTCGTCCAGCAGGGGAAAGTTTGCCAAGTTATCATTCTCTATATTCTTGGTTCTTTCGGTAAAGTCACGTAGAAGGGAAACAATAAACACAAGCAATCATCATCACGACGTTTCGACTGCAACACAAGCAATCATCACCTGATGATGATTGCTTGTGTTGCAGTCGAAACGTCCTGAGAATTTTATTGTTTTATATTTTTATTATTTTATTGTTTCCCTTCTACGTGACTTTACCGAAAGAACCAAGAATATGAATCCCTGCAGTCAAGAAAGCTTTAAATCTAAATTTATCATTCTCTGTTCGTCGTTTCCAAAAAGGTAGCTTTTTTTTAAACTCCTTCAGGTTTTCTTCCGCTTCGATGATGTTGACTCCACCGCCCTGCATCTGTCGATTGAGATGATTGAGAGCATGGAAAATATCGGCCATGTACGCCAAAATGAGAATGAATTCAGAATTTTCGAAGCAATCTGCGTGACAATGTTGGTACTCTCGCAAAAACAGGGCTAATTCCACACGCATGGCAAAAACACGATTCAGCACCTTTACCCGGGATAACCACCGAACGTTAGAATGGTACAGAAGTACCTCGAATTCAGAGCCCATTTCCTTACACAGCTCTTTGAAGATGCGGTGCTTCATAGCACTATTTCGCACATAGTTCACACATTCAACTACAATTTTTAATCCTTCTGCCAGTTTTGGAGGCAAGGTTTTTGTTGCCAACGCATGCCTGTGCAGAACACAGTGCGTAACAATGATGTGTGGTGCATCGGATTTCACCAGCGCTCCAAAACCAGCGTGTTGTCCCTGCATGGCTGGAGCTCCGTCCGAACAAACTGCAGAAACCATATTCCACGAAAGATCGTTGTCTCTGAAGAAGTCATCCACGAGTTTCTTCACATCGACTGCCTTGGTTGTTGTTGTAAGAGTCTTACAAAATAACAAAAATCTTCCTTTATCACGTCGTCTTTCATATAGCGCACGAATACAACAAGCTGGCTTAGATTGGAAACGTCGGTGGTCTGGTGGAGTTGGAGGCTGAACTTTGCTGGGCTTGAAATCAGGTCTGCAACTACTTGAGCCAAGATGGCATCGCTCAAGTCGTCTATTCTGCTGCTGCTGATAGTGTCATTTGAAAGAGGAATTTGGGATAACTTATCTTCAGCAGCTTTTCCCAGCATGATTTTCGCCATCTTCAACGCAGCTGGTTTTACGAGTGTTTCACCAATGGTGTGTGGTTTGCCCTGCTTTGCGATCAGGTACGCAACTTCGTACGATGTTGTGAGGATCGGTTTGTCGATTGGTACAAAGCCGAGAACAGGCAGGGTAGCCTTTTCATCGAATCTGGCTCTCTTCACCTTGAATTCAGCGAGCGTTGTGTTCTTGTATTTCCCATCTCCATGCAGCTTTAGGAAGTGTTCCTTTAGTTTTGCCGGTGCAAGACTAGAATTGCTCAACTTGGCATTGCAAATCATGCATTGATGACACTTGACTCCCATCACGTTCCTTTATACATGTGAATCCATATTGTACGTATTCGTCCAACCACTTTCTTTTTTTGCTCGACATAGTTAGTATGAAGGGATTGAAAGATTAAAAGAAAATCACAAATGACGTACAATCACAACAGCCACAAGTAGACTACTGAGCGCACCAAGTTCCTGATCACGCAATGTGGCGTGATCAGCTGCAGCCAATGATGGCCGAGCGGAGTGTGACGTCATGAATAATCCAAGTGGGCTGAATTTATTTTCTGTAACACATTTTTACTAAGCAAATAAATATTTGTAATCTAACACGGCGAAGAAAAATTGTGTGTTGCCAATTTTTTGACGGCCGACAAAAACGGCCCAACATTACTAGTGCGAACCGGACCGCTATACTGTGTGTCTTGACCCCTGCCGAACCCCGGAGAGTGACTCAACGAACCCCTGGGGTTCGATCGAACCCAGCTTAAGAACCACTGGATTAGCGTGTTTTGGTAAAACGCTTTTACACCACGTGACAATTGTATTTGTTTGGCTATGTCGGATGGAAGATCAACACGACACAAATTGGACCAGATCATTACGTGGACAAATCCGAAGTCAAACTCACCCTCCTAAGCCGTAGGTGCTGCGGGGTGGCTGCTGCTGCTGCTGCTGCGGTGGCGGCGGCGGTGGCGGCTGCTGCTGCTGCTGCTGCTTCTGCATGGACAGCAGGTTTGGTGAACTGCGGTTGGGGCTGCCCATGCCAGAGGAGCCCACTGCATTGGCACGGTTTGACAGGCCGATGGGCTGCACGTGGTTCATCCGTGGGTTCAGCGCCAGGATACCCCTGGAAAAGATTTGGCGCGCAAACGATCAACAGAACGGGGCGGGTTAGCCGGCCACCGCTGGGAGCGATCAGAAAACAATACGGTAAGAACACTAATACTACATTTTTTTTTATTTTGGACACAGCACACTCGTTTACGCTGGGGCATCTTAGAGAGCACTTTCCACGTAATAAGCGTCTTACGTTGCATCTCATTGACATATTCCAAGGGCACCCCCAGTGGCAGTTATCCCTGTGTCGCACAAAGTGACTCAGCATTACCCTAATAGTAGGGGGCGATGTTTGCTACTGTATGTGTCATTCCGATCGAGTCATTTGCGGATCATTTAGAAAAAGATGTGGACCATGACACTGGCACACGATGGCCTATTGCTGCGAATTATGTCACGGGATCTTTAAAGTCCACTGTGAAGCAGAGTGCGTGCGGAGTATTTTATTGGTTAATACACACACCCGCAGTGATAACCAGGGCGGCCTGTCGGATTCGGACCGCGAACCTCTGCAATAAGCGGCAAACGTGCTACCGCTTGGGCCACATCACTGCCGCAAGTGAATATTGAGCCTCAATCGGTCACATGCCTGCGAGTGCTAGCAGCACCGCCTCTGCCTTCAACAGCCTTGTTGTTGTGCAGTTGCCGTCGTCATTGCCGGAAGTTACAGATGTCCCTAATGCTGTTGCCCGCTCGGGTCAAATTACTGCTTATGATACGACTGGGAAAATATTGTCCTTGATTTCATGCCATGTCCATTATTTAGTTAAACCAAGTGTGTGAAAATTCAGTCACCGAAAAAGGTGACCAGAGATCTGACAGGGATGGAATGGTTTTCTAAATGCAGCGCAGACATGAAATTGCTCCAAGTATGAGAAACGTTAAATATTAAAAGAGACGTAAAAGGTGAAGGTGCAGTCCTGCAAGTGCTTTCTCACGCCACTGATGGCAGAACAGCCTCCACTAGAGCGAAATATTGAGGGTATTTGGTCTACTCTTCCAAGTTGACCAACGTATTCGAAGAGGTGGCAGTACCCACACTTTACCCCACCACACAAGACCTGCTGATCTACCAACCGTGGTGCACCCATTTATACTGCTGGGTGGACAGAGGCGGGGGGACGGGAGTTTCAGGAACTAGCTTCATTGTTCCATCTTCCGCATCGGGAGATTTAATAGAACCGGCGACCTCTGGATAGCAAGTCCAGTGTGCTGCTGAACCATTAAACCATTGCGGCAGTTCCACTATGATAGAGTGAACGAGGGGTGGGGGGGGGGGGGGGTGATGTACCGGCTTGGTGATGACGGCGCGTGTGGAGGCGGCATAGGGGGCCCAACACTCGTAGGGGTCACGTGTCCTGGCAAGGGGGCACCCTGCGATAAACTCCGGTTGAGCTGCGGGGCTGTGCCCCCCATTCCACGCATCTGAAGACCCAGGGGGTCTGGAGAGGGTGAACACAAGCACACACGCAGATTTGTACACACCATATTGGGTACAGATTTAAGGCTGGGTCGACATAGGGCAGGCCCAGGATCAGTTCAAATAATCATGTCGGCTGTGAGCAGGAATGGAACTCAGGCCCCCGGGTTCGTAGTGCAGTGCGCTAACCACTCCACTACTGCTCCTTGACATACACACAGGAAAACGATGAAAAAGGAATCTGTGATATCTTCTCCCCATAAAGTATCTTCTATTGATGGGGATAGATCTGTGCTACATAAGTTATTAAAAAAACTTCGTGATCTCGCTGAAAAGCTTCGCCACATCCGGGCAAATAAGATGGCGTGGAGATAATTCTGCACTGAACTTGGAAAGCATCTAGAGCGGTCTGGTGAAATCTTCATAAATTTTGCCCTGCTCTCATTCGTTAAGTATGTCCCATGCACAAACTTTAATTGAATGAGTTTGAGCGAAGCAGCTCTTGGGCCTGCTTTAGGGGCTCGCCAATACGCTATTCCAAGTCTAATGGGGCCCAGACCCATCCCACAATTTTTTGGTAGCTGGTCTTAAGACAGGGTCCCCTTCTTCCTGGAGCCAATAAGCCTAGGATAGACTATATTTATCTGTAGTAGTCTCTAACCAATTGATAATTGGGTGAATTAAAATCCCTAAGTTCTTCTCCGGGGATTTCACTATTGCGTCGCTAATTTGTAGCTATCAAAAATAATTGAGAGTGTGGGATATCATGTTTAGTTCGCACCTCTTCGAAGGGTAACACCCTTCCATCCAAAGATAATGGGGCCTTGACGCCGTCCAGGCCGGGGATTTTCCAGCTGTCCCAGTTTATCACCTTTCTCCCTATCGTCAGTAAAGGGTTACCACAGGTAATCGACCCCCTCTGGAGAGGGGTTTGCAGGTAAGTTTCTGGTTTACTCGAGCTTGCCAATGTCGAGATGACCTTTCAGAACGGTTGTAGCCCTCACGGTCTGGTTTTGATACTAGCCAGCGCAAATCCCTCAACGGAGCATGGTTTGACCGACTCTTGCTCCCAGCTTTTCCTTGCTTCTGTGTGTCAAGATAGCCTTTCATGTTACGAAGACCCATCGCCTCGTGATATTTTCGAAAATCTGGGAGAGCCAGACTGCCCTGATCTGATGACTTCATGAGGCGGGACTAACCAATACGAGCATGTTTGTAGTTCCATATAAAAGAGATCGTCGCAAAGAAGGTCTTCGGGATCTGTGTGGAAACCATCCTCATGAGGTGTATTAATTTGGGAAGGATCATCATCTTAATTAGATGTCCTCTGGTATATAGAGAAAGGGGGACGTCTGCCTAAGCAGATAGCAATGCGGTTCTTTCCTGAAGCGCTGGAGTGAAGTTCATTGAAAAGAGTGAATTCTGGGAAGAGGGCATCATAACGCAGAGGTATTTGATATTGGATGGAGACCATTTAAATGGGACCGGGTTTTTTCGGAGCTAATGGAGATGCTGCTGATAGTGTAATTAATTCCAATTTTGTTACATTTAGCTTGTACCCCGATACCCTTCCATATTCCGCGACTGAAGTTAATATGGGGGGGGGGGGGACTAATTAATTCGGTTCCATGAATGTCATCAGCACATCGTCGGCGTAGAGGTTTATTTTATTTTCAACCTTGCTAAGCCTCACCCCCAACGATAGAGTGATTTCCCATAACACTTACAGCGAGTGGTTCCATTGCCAAGGTGAAGAATAGCGGGGAAAGCCTTTTTTTGGGGGATTTTAAGATGTTTGTGATGGGTCAAAATGTTAAGCATTTTGAGATGCAATTTGCATGAATGACACTATATAAAAACAAATGATGTGTGTGCATAAGGGGTCACTTGCAGAGATTCAGAAGCAGTTGTGGTATCCCTTTCTACGGACTGTTCTCTAGGAGAGAGTTGTCCAAATGTGACGCGCATAGTTAGTATAATATACCGTTCTTTTCATCTAGTAAAAAATAAATAAATCTGTTTTCACTTAAAGCTGAAAATGGAAGTTAAGCAAATCACATCTCTAACTTGCTTATGTTCTCTGATCTGTGAATATTTGCATATTGACTCTGTATTCATGAAATCTTCAGTGAATCTAAAAACTTTTTTCATGAGGGGGTCTCACTTCGGAGCCTGGCTTCATTCCTCATTTAATATTTTCATAGAGGTGTATTACAACATTTATGGCGACAGGGTTGTGGCACATTGACAACATTCACGCTTCACAGCAAGAAGTTTCTGGGTTCAATTCCCGACCTGGCAGCCTTTTTGTGTGGAGCGTGTATATTCTCTCCCTGTTCGACATGGGTTCGCTGATACATAGCTAAACACACAATACATTGCATTGTGTGTTTAGCTAGCTATGAGAGGACAAATAATGTACTCAGTATTGGTTGAACATCCCAATACTGAAAATATTACCTGCAAATTACTTAACTGGGAAGACACAATGCAGCAACATCGCCCCCGTACTGCGAACAACTTAGCAGGATCTTCCTGTAATTAATTAATTATCCAGGAGAGCCACACCAAGTCATAAGACTCATTTTCAGGAGGGTCCCCTATTGGGTTTTTATTTTTAGATGTTTTCAGGCAATTCATGAGTGAGACTCGCGAGGCTTTCCTAGTTAAACAAGCATAAACACTGTTCACATAGATGTACATTTAATTAAATTAAATGAGGACGTACTTTGTGGTCCGTAGAGGCTTGCGCCAAACTGAGACAGCTGACCCGATGGTGACGGAGAGCCCAGCATCTGAGACGGAAACGTCGCACAGCAGAGGCAGCGTCAGTACAGGTCCGAACTCGCGCCACCTTTAGCACGCCCACCTCCCACTCGCGCACACCGCTCCCATGCACTCATTAATACGGCACCCGTCTCTCTCTCACTCGCACACTCCGATACACCTCACTGTTGCTAACACACTTCTACGCGCCTCACTGTTGCTAGCACCCTGGCACGCTCCGACACTCACGTCTTTGTCGGGCCTATGTGAGAAGACACTCGACTGGTTGAAGTACATGTTTCCATCAAACTCGGCCTCTCCCTCCTCCCCGAACCGCTTCTTTGGAGCGCCAAACATGCCTGCTCCGTGCGGGACTCAACTGTGATACAAGGAGGAGAGCAGACGCGGGCCGGTTATTCGGTCAGTACACTCGCTGACACGGTGTGACATGACAAGACATCGCGACGCGACAACACGAACAAGCCTGCTCCGTGTGGGACTCAGCAGTGACACAAAGGGGAGAGCCGATGCGGGGCGGTTATTCGGTCACTTGGTACGCTTGATAACATAACACAATACACAAAAGGACAACGCAACACATAACCACAAAAGATAATCGAAACAGAACACAAGAGACAACATGACAACACAACAGGACGACACAACAGGATGGCACGTGACAACACAGGACAATAACACAATATAACAACACAAGAGGTGAAACAACGTTATACGATGTAATTTGTGACTAGGCTGAATTCAACTGCTTGTTACATTTGAGAACCCGGTTTAATAAATTAGCCTATGCAAATCTATGGCCGTTGTTTGCGAGTCTGCGGGTCTCTACGTCAGTCATTAGTAAAGACTCAGTTTAGACCATCAACTCACTACATATTAATCACAGGGAGGTCAAAACCCGGATTGGAACCCAGGATCTCAGCGGTACCGCCTCAGCATCGCTGAGCCCCGAGCCACCCGACCTCATGTGTGTGTTTGAGTGACGAAAGTTTCAAGTTTATCTGTTTAACCAGGTGAGAACTCAGAGACCACGATAGTCTCACTTGCAAAAGTCTGCCAGTGGGGGGAGATGTTTGCTATGTTTAATCCCAATCGAGTAACTTGCAGGTAATATTCTAATTTAAAAAAAATCTGGATGCTGACATCCACACACATTGGCCTACTCTTGCAAATGACGTCAGGGGATCATTAAGGTCCACTGGCAAGCAGATGGCGACGATGAACAAAGTCATTATGCTCGCGGTAATATTCCGTGTGGCCACTGTAATGGAACCATGGACCCTGCAACAAGTGGTGAACACGTTACTGCTGGGCTACGTCACTGACCTAAAGAGTATAATTCAGAGCTTGCATTCTTGGCGGAGATTCACAACGAACCACCAGAAATGTATTTTTTTCAAATTTTCTTGCTGTGGTTTTCACACCTGATGATGATTGCTTGCGTTGCAATCGAAATGTCGTGATAATTTTATTGTTTTATTTGTATTATTTTATTATTTCCCTTCTACGTGACTTTACCGAAAGAACCAAGAATATGAATCCCTGCAGTCACGAAAACTTTAAATCGAAAATTGAACCACCAAAAGTTTAATTTACTCCATTTTGTAAAGGATTAGAATAATTTATGCCCACAAAGTACGGAGTAGCCTAAAACACAAACATTTTATTTCAAGTGTCAAGAGACTACAGAGAATAATATAAACCAAAATATGACTGCACTGGCTGACATCTGTTACAGTAGTCTCCGTGTATTATAACACACTTTTTAAAACTGTTTTATATTTTGTATGTTCTCTAACTCACAGGTTATTCTTCCTGTATCCCAGAATAATTCCAAGCATGCATCTCTCCATGCTCCTTTGCACACTCTTCAGCTCGGGTTCCATCAAAAATATGCATCAATATCAACAAAACTACCAAACACATTCACATAAAAAAATCCCAGTCTGAATGTCTCCCTGCGCAATGCAATGGCACCACAGCACTTATCTCCATTGGTGGCCGTACATCACTGGTGTAAATTCCACATTCCTATAGCTGGGGTCAATTTATCAAAAGGCCTACGGTAGGTAACACATATCAATAATGTTATGAGTATTAGAGTGATGACAATGATGACAAAGATGATGGTAGGCTGAGTTGACCTACAATTCAAGATTTTCAGCTCTAAATGAGCTGTCATGCACATAACCGCCCACTTTAAGCACATCACAATTTTACACGTTTATTTTCACTTGTGAAAATATTTAACCTGGAAAACCCCGATTTAAAGCTTTCGTGACTGCAATGATTCATCTTCTTTGGGTCTTTCGGTAAAGTCACGTAGAATGAGAATAAAATAATAAATTAATAAAATAAAATAACAGCACTCCAGCGCTGTCCTACCAGACAGTCTCGTCCCTTCACCTGATGAAGGCCGCTTGTGTTGTGGCCGAAACGTCGCGAGAATATTATTGTGTTATTTTATTTTATCAATTTATTATTTTATTCTCATTCTACGTGACTTTACCGAAAGAACCGAAGAAGCTGGAAAACCCCCTTGAGATAGAGCATCTTATTTGCAAGCGGTAACATTGCTTCAACAACCAAGGTTTTATGTCGAAGTCCAACGTCGACCTTCCCTCAGTGCGAGGTTGCTCATTCCTCCTCGGCTGCCACCACAAGAGTCTGGAACTCTCTTCCCCCAGCCATCCGGGCTTTTAACTCGCTGCCCCTGTTCAATTAGGGCCAGGCTCTTCCAGTGACTGGCTGCCTCTTTCTCTCTGTAAAATAAAAACACCCACTGCTTCTGTATGGCGTCACGATACATGGGACGCATGTAGATGCTATATAAATACAAATTGTGCGCGACTGCGTAAGATCAGTGTACTTGCGCGTAGTAAAAAAAAAACTGCAGATGCAGAAAATATGATCTTCACACACTGACAATGAGTCTTAAAATTATGTTGCCTTATCCTGGTGCTGTGAACCTCTGGTGCCGATAAAGAAAATTACAGGTTGCAAGTAATGTGTGCGGCATTAACAAACACGCATTCTGCTAGATTTATGCTCGAGAGAGGTGCATGTAACTCTGATTTTAACAATTAACGTCATATACACTCTCCCCTTAACATTACAATTGCAGTGTTGCACTCAAAACCACGGTTGCAACAATATACACATTAAGGGTAAAAGCAAATATAAGCTAAACTCGTTAAGTGTCCTTACGTAATTACAAATGTGCTTTGGTCCATCAGCCTATGCACTGTCCAGACCAATATTATTGTCAATCAAAATAACAAGACAATACACCCCTTCTTTCCATACCGGTTCCTTCATGTAGAAGAAAATAATTGTTGTACACATCCTATTGATCACGGTGGGGATTGTGAATAAAAATTATCAGTACTTAACAATACACCTCTCTAAATTTAAATATATAGGTGTAATGGTTGATCCCAAGTTTCCTCTTGGTAGCAATACTGATGGATTAAGTGACAGACGAGTGGCAAATGTCAAACCAAATGTGCGCACTCTCCCACAGGAACAGCGCTGGACCAATCTCTCAGACATTAATTTGCAACTATTACAGCTAACCTAAATTCTATATGGACATGCAGTGTGCAACATTTAATTATGAACGTATATGTATTTGGCCGAGTGTGATATTCATTGTATAAACACAAACTGTAATACGTAATATATATGTGCAATGTCTGAAATTGGCATCATTACGGTGTTGCTGTGTATGTGTCAATCGACACCCTGAACACCCCTCGCAAATTAGGTGTTCCATCTCAAGAGTTTATACAGGTGAAATATTAACATTTTATTAAATAAATCAAACAGAAAGGAGTTCTGCTTAAGCTTGCATTTGTCGTAAAGAATACTATTTTAACAGCAGCTTTCAGTGGTTCCAAGTAGATTTTATTTAGCCAAGAGTAACACGGGTCACCAAAACGAAGTGGTCATGAGTGTAACGTCATGAATTTAAAATGGGTCCAGTATTGGTACCGTTTGCATTATACCTCCTAAAGATGTTACCGCACCACACCTCACCAAGGATGAATACCCTCTGCTAGATCCCGCGGCCACTGATCAGGAGACACATGCGACCTCCAACATCTGCCCTAAAAGTCTCCCACGATCTGCTCTTACGTCTTCCCCCTTGATACACATGCGACCTCCAACATCTACTCTAAAAATCTCCCACGATCTACTCTTACGTCTTCTCCCGTGGGACACATGCGACCTCCAACATCTACTCTAAAAATCTCCCACGATCTGCTCTTACGTCTTCTCCCTTGAGGCACATGCGACCTCCAACATCTGCCCTAAAAATCTCCCACGATCTGCTCTTACGTCTTCTCCCGTGGGACACATACGACCTCCAACATCTGCCCTAAAAATCTCCCACGATCTGCTCTTACGTCTCCTCCCTTGAGACACATGCGACCTCCAACATCTGCCCTAAAAATCTCCCACGATATCTTCTTACGTCTTCTCCCGTGGGACACATGCGACCTCCAACATCTGCCCTAATAGTCTCCCACGATCTGCTCTTACGTCTCCTCCCTTGAGACACATGCGACCTCCAACATCTGCTCTAAAAATCTCCCACGATCTGCTCTTACGTCTTCCCCCTTGAGACACATGCGACCTCCAACATCTGCCCTAAAAATCTCCCACGATCTGCTCTTACGTCTTCCCCCTTGAGGCACATGCGACCTCCAACATCTGCCCTAAAAATCTCCCACGATCTGCTCTTACGTCTTCTCCCGTGGGACACATGCGACCTCCAACATCTGCACCAAAAATCTCCCACGATCTGCTCTTACGTCTTCTCCCGTGGGACACATGCAACCTCCAACATCTGCCCTAAAAGTCTCCCACGATCTGCTCTTACGTCTTCCCCCTTGAGGCACATGCGACCTCCAACATCTGCCCTAAAAGTCTCCCACGATTTGCTCTTACGTCTTCTCTCGTGGGACACATGCGACCTCCAACATCTGCCCTAAAAGTCTCCCACGATCTGCTCTTACATCTTCTCCCTTGAGGCACATGTGACCTCCAACATCTGCCCTAAAAGTCTCCCACGATCTGCTCTTACGTCTTCTCCCGTGGGACACATGCTACCTCCAACATCTGCCCTAAAAGTCTCCCACGATCTGCTCTTACGTCTTCCCCCTTGAGACACATGCGACCTCCAACATCTGCCCTAAAAGTCTCCCACGATCTGCTCTTACGTCTCCTCCCTTGAGACACATGCGACCTCCAACATCTGCCCTAAAAATCTCCCACGATCTGCTCCTACGTCTTCCCCCTTGAGACACATGCGACCTCCAACATCTGCCCTAAAAGTCTCCCACGATCTGCTCTTACGTTTTCCCCCTTGGCATATTTTTTGCGCCATCACAAATAAAACCGAAACTGCTGTGGTCAATGCCCACAAGCAACAGAACGATGGAACTTGTCTATTGTCAACATGAACATAAATCCCGATAGAATCACACCGGCACACATGGGTGGGGGTGGGGCAGAGTGGAAGGGTGCGGGTTTTAAGGACATTGATGGAAGTGTTTTGCAACGAGAATTGCCGTATTCGTGAAACAAGAAGCACGGTCTGGAATCGCCAGTGACACAGACGGAAAGCTCAAGCGTCGACAGAAACAGCCGACAGAGTAAAAAAAATCACGTCGTACCACCATGAGTGAATTAACTTATATGCATTTCACTTCAACGCAATGCGAACGAATTACGGTTCAAAATGAATCGAAAGTAAATGTGTCTAGTCTCCAAACGTAATACTTTCATAAATATTAAATGCAAGCATCTGTGTCACCATGTAAAAATAAAACAACATTTGGGTATATTATAACTAGCAGCCTTCTATGACATTTTGTCCCAGAAAATGTTGTGTTTTAAGCGTCTCTGTTTAGGCGTGCATTAATCCACAACCGACCTTTGCAACGGGCTATGCATTTTGTCCAAGTTAAAGTACATCAAGTTGGTATGAATTGCGTTCACTGCATTCGTGTTGTTGTTCACTCTAAGCTTAACTGCTGCAAGTATTGTGTGTACACAGGGCTTAATTTCTCACTGCATATTCTCCGGCTCGCTGGTAGACTGGCATACACACGAGCTGTATACAGGACGTGGTGTACCGTGTGCGAATATATTTTTCGGGTTTCAGACCCAGATCCCGGCTGTAATGAATCCATGTGTGTCCTGTGAAGTTGTGTTCGCTTCGCACGCATTACTGTGTTCATTACTCCGTCGTTTTGCTATCGAGCATAACAAACCTTCAGTGTTGTGTAATATCCCAGTTCCATTCTCCAGTTGTAATGCCTCCCCCCCCCGCCCCCTTTAGGCTCCTGTTACATAAATGTCACGTCCACTATAAACTCGAATGTAAACACATCAACCGATTCCTTGCGCAACACCAAATCCCACAACTTTCAGAGTTTGGGGCCTACCCATGCCCACGCCAGCTCTCTAATCCAAGACCCAAAGCAGACGCTAAACCCTCATCCAACTCACAGACTCCAACCCTCATCCAACTCACAGACTCCGAGACCCACCGACTCAGGACCTACCCCGATACAAAATAAACCCCAGACACCGAATACCTAAGTCTCCAACTCAGATCGGGATGTGAACTCGGTCCCCTCCCCTACCCCCCCCCCCCACACTGAATACGAACCCCAACCACAAACGCGGGCCCAGACTACTACCAAGCCTCATTCTCCTACTCAGATCCAGATCGCCACAGCATGGACTCGAACACAGACGACAACAGAGTCCCATCCCCCCCCTCCGCAAAGAACTCGCCAAGTCTCCTTCCACTCTCCACTCGCTACATCCGCACAGAGTGCAGGGGACGGTCAAACCGCAGCCGCTGTTCTCGCCTCAAGCTCCCAGGCAACAACACAAGTAGTACAAGCAGCAATCATCAGGGTTTAGCAAGAGTCAGCTGAGGTATCAGCAGCACCGGCAATCAGAGACAGTTGTAGTCATCCTCATCAGCAGCAGCAGTGCCGATGTCTCGGCAGCATCGGCAGTCGCGATGGCGGCAATTTGCTTTTTGCAGCAGCAACTGCAGCAGTATAATCCGGCAGCGGCGGTTCTATCGGCAGCAGCAGCAGCAGTATCATCAGCAGTAGCGGCTCCCGTAGCAGTAGCAGCAGCAGCAATGGCAGCGATAGCATCAGCAACGGGCGGCAGAAACCGAACGGATGATGAAGAAGTAGATGATGATGATGATGGCGAGTCGTGCTTTGTTACCCACTGTAAACGGCTAGCGGTTGGCGGGGTGAAGAAGCCAGCGCGATGCGAGGCGGGTGAGGAGAGGCGGTGAGGAGAAGCGAGTCGACGGCGGCGCGGGGAGCGGGGGGTGGTTGGGGTGAGCGAGGCGAACGAGACGGAGGCCGCCGAAGGAGAGGGAGGAGAGAGAGGAGAGAGAGGAGCTACGCGCGACGCCACGAACCGCATTCAAGGCCCCTTCCTCCACCAAGATGGCGCGCGCGGGCTGCTGGGTAAACAGATTGACCTTTGACCCGCGACCCGCGGGTTTCACTTCCGCCCTGTGTGTATATTACGTTTAAATTGTTTATTTAAAAAAAAACACAAATTTTATCCAGCCAATAAAAAAAAGTTATATTACTGCGGTGGCTAGATTGTACTTTATGTTCTGATTAGTAAGTGTAGTTCAACAAATGTGTTTTGTAGTGTTCCTATTAAAACAAACGCCGTTATATTACTTTGGTGGCTAGAAAGTATTTACAACAATTAAAACAGCCGTTTAAATGGTGTACTTTCTAACCGGTCAATTAATTAAAGTAGGTTTATATTTACCTGCCAATGTTTTTTTCCCCCCAGTGTGTATTTATGATAGTAAACGTTCAATGTGATTAGTCTTTTAATTACGTAAAATTATATAGATGTAGTGGAATAAATAGGCGCATGGGGGTAAATGGTGAGATCGTGCGGGGGCAGGACACTACGGGTCATGTTGGGACAGCCAGGAGCCATGGTTGGGACGATGAGGTAACGATTGGGCCAATTAAGCTGGGGGGGAGCCAGGGACGGCTGTGATTGGCTGGTGTTGTCAGGGCTGGAGTGTGATTGGCTGGTGTTGTCAGGGCTGGAGTGTGATTGGCTGGTGTTGTTGTCAGGGCTGGGGTGGCGTCTTGAAGTCTGGCGAGGTAACAGGCGCACGGGCACGCGGAGCGTTGTTGGGACACGGGTTAATTCATTGGGGTGTGATGAGAGCGGGGATAAATTGGGGGAGACGCGAGGAGAAACGGGGAGTTGGAGTCCGGGGGCTGGACGAGGCAGGACGTGGAACAGCTGAAGAGAGAAGCAGCCAGCAGTGGAGAGAGCACAGTGAGAGCGGAGAGCAGAGAGAAGCGGCCAGCAGTGGAGAGAGCACAGAGACATCGGAGCTGACGGAGAAGCGGAGATTGGAGAGACAAAGGCGGCGAGCGAGTCGAGTGAGGCACGGCGAGCGAGCTGTGGCAACAAGGGAACTGTGGAGCATTGAGGACATGTGGAGAACTGTAAATAAAGTGGTGTTGGAAGAAAGGCAAAAGTTGTCCGAGTGAAATCAACCACTACATATATAAAAAAAATATGTAAATGTTTCCATAATTGTAGCTAACGTGGAAGAGTAGGCCAAATTCCCTCTAAAGGGGCTCTCCATAGCTCCCTCTAGTGGAGGCCCTACTGCCAGCATTTGCGGTACGCAAGCAAATGCAAGGCTGCACCTTTAAATTTAACTTTTTAAATGGTATAAAGTTGAGTGTTGTAACCGTATCACTCTTGCCACTTGTAATTTTCACTGAACAATAAACCTTGTTATTTTGGTAACCTTTTGTCTGTAAGGTGAATCACGGTATTTTAACACATTGTACATTCCAGTACATTATAACAAGAGAAACCACACGTGGACAATGTGTCAGTTATCAGGAGTCACCCAGGAAGAGCGTGGGGTTTTTATGGTCATCGAGTGGGAAGATCGTGGCTCCGGTGGCCGGATTTTCCACTGCAGACCAAACCTGTCGGGCGAGGTGTAACAACGCTCTACAGTAAACACTGCAACAGAGATTTAACAAAGCGATAACTGGGATCAGATCTCAGTACAAATCAATAATTCCTGCTGCCTCCCGGCAACAGATCACATAAATTCCCAGACTGTCCGGGTCGAACCCAGACAGGTAGCTTACTCTACTCATGGCCGATGATGTTGGGAGCAATCTTCATAGAAAGGCAGCAGTGGATTTACAAATGGGGCTGTGTACATTTGTGCAATCCATATGCCCCGATAACTCTGGCAGTTACTTGGGTTGTTGTAATGATACTGGTAGGAACCTCCTGGTTACACCAGCCCACAGGAGATTATTGTGTCCATCCATCGTGCATCCAAAAATGGGAGGGGTGGGGCTGGGTGGGGAGGGGGGCTGGGTGGGGAGGGGCTGGTCACCCCGTGGTGCCCTTATAAAACTCAACGTTTAAACCACTCACGCCGGCTTGTGCCCGCCCTCACAGTCGGGCATATTTGCGGAATACACCACGTGCCGCCGTTGACCCTGGCCATTGACCGAGCAACCCAACGTTCCTACCAGCTCCCTCCGCAGGAATGTGTTAATGTGCATTTGGCAGATCACAATGATGGCCACCCAGTGGTTGTAGCTGTCAAAAGTGTGCAGATGGTGTATCTGCACTCGGGCCTTGGCGTCAGGCTATGAAGGGGAGGGCCCTGTTTTGCTGCTTTTCCCCATGGCCCCATTCAAACCACCACTGTGCACACCTATGTAATCATTAAGAACATGAAAACATTTCACAGTGCATTTTATTTTCCTCTTGGAAACCGATAAAACAAGTTATGATGATTGTTAAAGTTCGAGTACTGAATGAACCATTAACCTATGAAACTATTTCAATACTCGACAGCAAGAAAGCATTTTACAAGTTACATCTAAAACTGAGCTTGTTCATATTCATAATTAATGCCGCAAATTTTTTTCATAGATTTCTAATGTTTTATAACTAGTACATTCTCTTCGGATATGTAAAACCATAACATTGCGTTGCCATCTTCTTCAGAGCGTAAGACACCCTCACACCTGTGCCCAGTTTCATAAGGTTATACTAATATGGGCACACGTGCCTCCTGGATTATAAGACCAACCCTTCACCTTTGCTTGAAAATAGAAGGCAAAAAGTGGGTTTTATAATCCAGAAAATACGGTCCAAAAATATATTGACACAGTAAATCAAAACTGTTACAAGTGCCTTAATAAATTAAAGTACTACAGCTTCCAACTAAAAATATTTTTAAATAACTGCCAAAATCAACTGTGATTGTACACTATGGTGATAGTTCACAATCATCAACTGTCGTCCATAGGCTCAGGCCATATATTGTACTTATTGATATATTTCATGATTGTTTTTTTAAACATATTGTTAGTCATAATGTATATCTTTATTTACATTATTCTGCCTTGCATCTGTTTATAACGAACTTGTTGATATTTCCTTGAGGTGGAACATCTCGTTTGTGAGGGTGTCCAAAATCTATTGTACTGTATAACGTTTCAACATCTACTCCCCCACCTTCACCCACCCGCTATGACCAGCCTGGTGAAGTATGGTCAAATATCCCACACAGCGTGGGCAGGCTCCCATCCTGCAGTGGATTGACAAATTGTGGCTGCGAATGTTCATTGGTCAGGTCGTATTATTTCTTGATATTAAATGGCCAAGTGTAAAATTAACTCGTGAATATTTCATCGCGCACCAAACGCAGAACACGAGTTCGCTCAACGCGGACGACAAAATTACACCACATTGGCACGAGACCCCGGAAACTGACACGGCGTACGTCTCGGCGTCACAGACCGACATCCGTGAAACCTTCAACCACAATGTGGAGTGCGTAGTGATACTGCACTGTGTAGAACGCGGCTCTCCGTGCAAGAGCGTCGAATAACGCTCCGAAATTACCTGTCTGCGTCTTCATACACTCGCTAACGACATCTTGCCAGTCACGCTTTGGCCTTTGGTGGGTAGTCGTAGTCATTGTCACGCTCGATAATTTTAGTACACTAAACCATTGCTGACTTGAATAGAAAAAAAACACGACTAAGGTGACAATTGTTTACATCATTGCCCTTGCTGACAGATCTCTCACCGGAGACGCCGTGACATCGCGCCTCGCGTCCACGTGAGGTTTTAGCATTAACGCCTCTCGGAGCACATCCTGAACGGCGCAGCTGAACCCTGCTCACAGCCGGGCGTCTGTTTTTTAACTGCACGTTTCTCTGCGGCCAAACACTTTTTGTAACTAATTCTGTATAATATTGGTCAATTGGTAACACGTTTCAGAATTAATGAAAGTGGTATGACCCTGGTTATTCATTGTGCAATATTTTTTTGTCCGCATGTTGCCACTAGATGGCAGCAGCAGAACTTCTTGAGGTCTATGTGCGGCCCGAAAACAAAGCCGACAATCGCTCATGTGACGTAATAAGTGGACCGGCCACAAGAAGGGGGCATCAGCGCTGTTTGCCAAGAGTAAACGGGACCGGCCGTGAAACGGTGACCATTGCTGGCAGTGGGCGGGCGTGTTCGAACGCTCAGGCCTTATTCTCGAAAAGGTACTCCAGGTCTGGCTGGCTGATTCGCTGCTCCATGTTTCGGTTCTTGGCATACTCCTGCAGGAGGTGCATCACCTCCGTGTCGAATTCGCTAGGCGTCGGGCGAGCCCCTGCACTCGCACCACACAAAAACAAGGCAACCGTGCCAACTTGACGCCTTGACATTCTCCCGATTGATTTGCCGGTTGTCGAAAGGCTGCCTGCTGAGCATCTCCAAAGCTGTGGCCTTCGCGTGGCACACCGACCCAACCGCCTCTGCTGAAATATGATGTCATTGCATGCTGTGTGCGCCTGATGATTAGTAAACAGGTCCGCCACAGGATGAATGTCTTTTAAGATTTATGTCTGGGATATTATGCGTTACAAAACCTGGTTCCATCACAGAAAGTGATAACGTGGATTCAAACCCAGGATCTTCGTGGTGTCGGCTCAGCCCGTCTGGACTCTTGCTCGCCTAGCCACCTCACGTGTGTTTGTGTGACAATGAAAGGAACATGTTTTAATGGAGTCACATCTGACCTGCACACACGTGCAAGCACACAGATCCAAAAGCTCTTACCTCTGAGCCACCCGGCCACTTCTAACAATGTGACTATTTCCGTTGCGGAATTATTTCACCACGAATTTAGTTATTTCTGGGTAGAGAAAGTAATTAATGGTGTTGCGGACTGACCTGTTGCCCAGTAGTATATATCCCAATCATTGCTTGGCTGGTTAATGAGTTTGTCGTACAAACGCAGCTGCTTCTCACTCATGGTGTTGAGGTACTCCTTGGCGAAGAGGCTGGAAGGACAAAGCACACCGTGACAATTAACACTGTGGCCTATAAACAGACTATATGTGACTGCATCCCACAACGCTCAACAGAAAGTGGGCATATTTATCTTATAGGGAGGCAAATGGTCATAGGCAGAGGAGAAGAGGAACATCTTGAGCCTGGACTTGGATCAGGGGCAAGGATTAAATCTTGACTTTGGTGACTGCAGGAATTCATATTCTTTGGGTCTTTCGGTAGTCACGTAGATAGGTTCAAAGAAAATATATACGTCAATAGGGGCAAGGATTCTCCAGCACGGGTGACTGGGGAAATGGCGTTCCAGACTATAGGGGCAGCAGACGAGAATGAGCGACCTCCCACTGACTGGGGGCTTTGATAGAATTGGCTTGAGAGGCGAGGAGAGAGGTAGGCGAATACGTGGAGGGAATTAGAAATAGATGAGAGGGGTGAGGTTGGAGAATGCGTGGAGGGGAGTAGAGTGAGAGAAGAGAGCAGAAGAGTGCATCGAGGGGAGTACAGTGGGATGGAGGATTTTGAAAATCAGCCAGTGTCATCTTGGCATTGATCCGGGATTATATTTGGAGTGCTCTTGCCAATAACAACCAGGCTGCTCATGAGAATCAGAGAAGTCGAAAGTGGTCAGGAGTCCAAAACATTGGCCTAGAAGGCCCGACAGCATCGGGGACGACGACGACGACGATGGTGGTGGTGACCACGTCGGCACGGTGTGGCTTAACGCGCCGAGCGAGTCCGCCACCTCAGCAGGATGCAGTTCTCCAGCATGCCGCGCTTGCGGCTCTCGTACAGCAGGCGCGCGCGCTTCGTGTCCAGCGGCTCGCCCGTGCGCTCCTCCCACGGCGGGAGGGTGCTCTCTCCGTTCTCCCCGGGGTGCCCCGGGGCCTCCCCACTGTGGCCACGAGACCCAAACAGGGCGGCCGCCGAGAGCGCCGGAGGGCGACGCAGCAGAAGCTGGGACACGCAGGGAGGGGATGGTCGGCACAATCATTGGTCGCACAACCCAGCGCTCGTTTAGCCAATGCTTTCAATGCATGGCAACTGAGGGTCGTAAGCTTTCATTATTATTCGATTTCATCCAGCAGTTTATATACCATTGCAGATGGAGATGATTTTAACAAGGCCCTTTATCCAACAGTGGATTGATCATGGCTGATCGAGATTCATGGGCATTTTTCCATTCTCAAGAAATGCAGACATTCAGGATTACAGTCCTAATCAGTGAACTGTTTTCACTCAAGTTTACGGAAACTACACCCAAAGTAATTAAGAGGGGCAGCCGTCCGGATTCGAACCGCGAACCTCTGCACAGGCTGGCCTTCTTCCCATTGGTCGCCCACCACGAGGTGCCGCTCCAATACCCGCCAGGGTCACCTGCCCGCCTGCGCACTCGTCCCACCTCATCACAACCTCCTCCACTCCCCTTGCACATGCGTCTCACCTCATCATCATCACAACCTCCTCCACTCCCCTTGCACATGCGTCTCACCTCATCATCACAACCTCCTCTACTCCCCTGCACACGCGTCCCACCCATCATCACAACCTCCTCCACTACCCTGCTCACGCGCCCCACCTCATCATCACAACCTCCTCCACTCCCCCTGCTCACGCGTCCCACCTCATCATCACAACCTCCTCCCCCCTGCACACGCGTCCCACCTCATCACCTCCACTCCCCCTGCTCACGTGTCCCACCTCATCATCACAACCTCTTCCACTCCCCCTGCTCACGTGTCCCACCTCATCATCACAACCTCCTCCACTCCCCCTGCTCACACGTCCCACCTCATCATCACAACCTCCTCCACTCCCCCTGCACACGCATCCCACCTCATCATCACAACCTCCTCCACTCCCCCCGCTCACGCGCCCCACCTCATCATCACAACCTCCTCCACTCCCCCTGCACACGCGCCCCACCTCATCATCACAACCTCCTCCACTCCCTCCATTCCCAAACCTCCTCCAAAGTTGCTTCGCCTTCCACTGCAAGGCCGTAATTATAATATAATATACAATATTCAAATATGCTCAAATGCCCCCCCCCCCCCCCACTATATTGTTATAAAATAGATTTGTTGAAATGATTGTGGTTCTGGTTGTACTTTATAAATCCCTAATCCCTGCCATTACATACACTGAAACAAGAAAAGGTAAAGAAAAAACAGAGCAATGTAATACCGTACAATACACTATTAGACATTATTGTAAAAAAAAAATCAATAGAAAGTCCATCCTATGTGTTAGTGAATTTTTTAAAATATTTTAGGCAGAAAATTAAGTTTTCAAATTTAGATTTTTTTCTGAGGGGGGGGGGCAAAGGGGGGGGGGGCAAACCCCAGACCCCCTGGGCTATACCAACTAAAAAAGAAATAAAAAGAAATAAAATAAAATGAAACTGAAACAATGTTGGCTCCATGGCCTTGTTCCACTGGGCTCAATGTCAGAGCCGAAACAATCCACGACCACTGCGCTTGCTACGCCTCGTTCCACCAGCTGCGAGCGAGTGAGCGCAAAAACCCTCGACCAACGCGGGGTTGTTATTGTTGTCGTTATTGTTGTTGTTTTTATATTTGACGCGAACGTTTATTTTAAAAACGCTAAAACTTTGCTGCCTACCCTGCCGCACACTCGCAGAGCAGAACCCGCCATGCTGAGATCCTGGAATCGATTCAGGCTGGCTAAATCGATGTCAATTCCCAAACGTCGATTTCATCCATTGGCCACACTCTTTCATTGCTCTCAAATCCGTTTTTGTTGTTGCAAAACATTAGCTATTAACAATAGACTAGTTAAGATTTGTTCATGTTAAGGATTGTAATATATGCGCCGAGAGGCTTGTGTGATATAAAGACATCGATTCCACCGTGTTGGGATGCATATTGCAGACGTAATCGATTCGTTATTCAACAGCACGAGGTCTCGCGAGTTTGCTTGCGAACTTTAACAAAATCTCGCGAGAGTTTGCGTTTCACGTGAAATTGTGAATAAAAATTAACGTTTAAATTTACCCACGTCGTAAATAATCTCAATTACTCATGCCCGTATCACGTGAAGCGAATAAAAGTACCGAAATTAATAAAACATATCAGCCATGGCCTATCCACTGCTGGGTGAAAGCTCCCTCCTCCCCCCCACCACCACCACGCTATGGAGTAAAGGCGCAGCCCTGCAACTGCTCCCCCCTAGAGTCACTGCTGGCGGAAGAGGCCTCCCAACGCGAGGGAGCTTTACGGAAGGGGATTCGTCCTACGTGGAATCAGACCTCCAGAATTGGGGGCCGTCCATAAATGACGTCACGCGATTTTAGACGATTTCTGACCCCCCCTCCCCACATCGTCACACGGCGTCACAAAACGTCAGACCCCCCCTCAAATATGACGTCACAAAGCTCTGCCCCCCCCTCCCCAAAATAAAACATGCTTCAAATCGCTTTAAACTATTGTCATTGTAGTGCGTATTTAATGTGCCGCTGCACTCAGATGTTGTACGTGAAAACATTTATTTAAAAAGTATATTTAATTAAGTAGAACGTTTTGATTTAAAGCTTTCGTGACTGCAGTAATTCATATTCTTAGTTTTTTTTTTTACGTGACTTTACCGAAAAAACTAAGAATATAAGTAGAACGTGTTATTTATTTAAAGTTGCGCATTTTGATGTGACGTCACATTTCTCACCCCCCCCTTCCCTCGTCACGCATCGTCACAAATGTCTCGCCCCCCCACGTGCGTGACGTCATTTATGGACGGCCCCCTTAGTGAATCCAACGCGTAAATACTGTAGCGTAAAGATGATGTGCCCTACCAAATTGTGAATCGATTCCATTTACTCACCAATTAAAGAATCGATCCTCTGCAATACTGAACGTATTGATAATCGATTTCATTTAGTGTCACCGCGTGGTACCGACGCCGCGACATCGTTGGCCTAACAAGGGGCTGGGGAGGAATCGATTCCAACATCTACGACCCGACGCGGCGTCGATTCTTTGCCACCGTCAGCATGGTGGTAAGCGATGTCGCTTCTCGGGGGCTTTCACGTGCGCGCCGTGGTTTAATTGTCCATACTTCACCGCTGTGGTCGGCGTGTCTTTAACCCAGCGAGATCACTTGACGCGGTCGCCGCCTCTCCCCCCTCCTCCGTAGTCTCCAGCGGCCAGCAACAGGCAGCGCTGTTATAATAAAAACAAAGTCGTAACGGGGGGCATAGAACTACAGTCCAACCAGCGGCAGGTGCTGCAGCATCTGTAGCTCAGTTTACTATATACATTTTGACTTGAAAGCTTTTCGTGACTTGCGAGAATTCATACTCTTTGGGTCTTTCGGGTCAAGTAACGTAGATATATTTTTTTTAATTTATTTTTTCCTACGTTAGGTGACATTACGGGAAGACGCAAAGAGCGTGGATTCCTGCAGTCACGAAAGCTTCAAATCAAGATCTTGTATTTAGAATTAACATTTTTTTTAAACTTAAAACTTTGTTTTTCTCCCCCGATGACGATCGCTTGTGTTGTGATCGAAACGCCGTAGTTTTTTAATTTAAAATCCCCCCCCCCTATCTACGTGACTTGTTACCTGAAAGAACCAAAGAATACAGTTTAGTACAACACACGTAGCTACGCCCCGGTGATCCGTCAATCGAATTCTCTGCGGTCTGCCGGCGCATTGTCACTTCAAGGCGCTCCTCATCCTCATCATCCTCCTCATCCTCCTCATCCTCCACGCGAGTTCATCGTGGGATGATGAAGAAGAAGAATCCCCGCGAGGCCACTCGTGGGTGACTTTGTTGGCCAGCGGTGTTGACGGGGCCCGAACAACGTGCCGCGCTTGCCCGTTTTGGTGGCTGTCGCGTTCGCGGTCGGAACCCAGCAAAAACCGCCCCGGTTAATACCGCGGGTGCGTGAACACAGATCTGTAACAATGACGAGAAATCCCACCCCATCGTAAGCGGGGCTGTGTAGCACTGCACGTGCAGAATAATGCCGATAACTTAATACGTGATGCACTCCACGGTGCTGTGCTAATGCGTCGGCAGTCTTGACGCGGGACGGGTTAAGCGCAACGTGCTTGGGGGGGAAAAAAAAAACAGCTAGCGTCGCCTTCCCCATTGCGAAAAACTTAGCAGGAGTTTCCTGGAAAAGAGTTTCTGGGTGCTTTTGTGATAGTGTCCTTGTGTATGTGTGTATATGTGTGTGTATATATGCTTTATTGACCTGGTCAAGGCCTATGAGACCATCAGTAGGCCTGGGCTCTGGGTTGTTCTTCGTGCTTTTGGAGTACCTGACCCTCTGCTCACGATCATTAAGGACCTTAATGATGGTGAGCGGGCCCGGGTAAAACTACGTGGCCGGGAGTCAGAGCCATTCCCTGTTAACCTTGGAGTGCGACAGGGATGTCCTCTGGCTCCCACATTATTTAACATCTATTTTGACCACGTAGTTCGTGAAGCCTTCAATAGCTGTACTGGGGGAATCTCCATATGGTACAGATATAATGGGAGGCTGATCGACGCCCGGGTGCGGTCAAGGGATGGCTCCCTATTGCTCAACCACGTTATGTATGCTGATGATTTGGTAATAGCTGCACATTCGGAGGAGGAGTTGGAGACGCTGCTGCTGAGACTGAAGCGTGCCACTAAGAGGTGGGGCCTTACCATCAGCCCCACCAAAACTAAGCACCTGCCTGGGTATTTTGTACCATCGGACACTCCATCCCCACAACTCCCAATCGGTGATGGGGCAGTTGTGGAGAGAGTGGAGAGTTTCCCATACCTGGGTAGTGTGCTTATGACTGGCTCCAGTTTAACAGCAGAGGTCTCACTCCGAATCAGTCGAGCGGCAATATCTTTTCATCGGTTGCGTAACGCTGTGTGGAAGCTACCTGGTCTGTCGCTCTGCACTAAGCTTCAGGTCTTCTCGGCCACGGTCATTCCCTCCCTTTACTACGCTTGCGAAACGTGGACCCCCCTAATGGAACGTCTTCGCCGGTTAGAAACATTTAGGCTGGCCTGCCTACGATCCATCCTGGGTTTAACCAGACTGGATTGTGTGAGGAGCTCACAAATCCTTGAAAGATCTGGGCAAGGTCCCATCGGTGAGCTCCTCCGGCGGGGAAGGCTGCGATGGCTGGGTGATGTAGCCCGCATGCCCAGCCACCGCATGCCGAAACAGCTTTTGTTCGGCCGGATTGAGAGGGCTAAGCGGGCGCGGCACGGGCTAGAGAAGAGATGGAGTGATGTCGTACAGGAGGACGTGGAGCTGAGTGGACTTGCCGATGACTGGTACCAGCGGTGTCAAGATCGGCCTCTGTGGAGGAGGCTCGTGAAGGACGATACTGGGCAGTTGGAGGTAGTCGCCCTCCAACAACAACGGAGGGCGGAGGAGCGACGCTCAGAACAACGAGCGGAGCGCTGGGTGGCTAAAGCACAGCAGGTTGGCACAGTAGGGGGCACAGGTGGTGCATCAGCCAGTCATCTTAGTCGACCTGTGGCACCTGGGTCTGCCCCGTGACCACGTGGCCTCAGGGTGCACATAGCCTGGCACAAGCGTCGTGGTGACGTCACCGCCACTTAGTGGCGAATGGCGGTTGTTGCATGTGTGGGGGGCGGTAGTGTAGCGGCTAGTGCGCTGCGCTAGAACCTGGCGATTCGGGTTCGATTCCCGCTCACGGCCAACACCAGTGACGATTATCTGAACCGGTCCTGGGCCTCCCCTAGGTGGACTCAGCCTCAAATGAGTACCTGGTGCGGTGGATAAAAAACATTGCCACTGGGGAGACAAAGGCGGTCGGGCGTGGTGCTGGCTACCCACCCCCTCGTGTACCGTTCTGGCCTTCATAGGTGCTCGCTAACAGCACTTGCCCCTACAGTCTGTTAAGGCTATACGGGGGATCTTTGTGTATGGTAGTGTAGCGGTTAGCGCTACGAACCCGGTGACCCGAGTTCGATTCGTTGCTCACGGCAAACACCAACAGTGACGATTATCTGAACCGGTCCTGGGCCTCCCCTAGGTCGACTCAGCCTCAAAGCAGTACCCGGTGTTGTGTGTAGACATTGCCACTGGGGAGATAAAGGCGGCAGGGCGTGGCGCTGGCCACTCAACGTCCTCATGTGCCTTGCCATCCCTTCATAACTTGCTCGCTAAATCCAGTTTTTTTTTTTACAACTCTTCAAGAGATTCGGTCTTCAGCTGCAGGCCACCATGGAGAACCTGACGGGACTCAGGCCAAGTGGAGAAGATTTCCGATGGTACTTGAAGGTGGGATTGCAGTGCTGTTATCTGTCATTGCTGAACGTGCTTGTCACTATCCTATCCACCGAGATCCTGTGCCTCCAAACCGCACGACGCTTCGCAAAATACGGGCACCACGTTTGACGACCATGGCGGCTGCCACGATCGATGTGGACTTGACAACGAGTGGCACAATTACGTAGTCCGCGACAATCGTACCATCTGTTTTGCAAAGTATATTCACGTTGCTCCTTTTTATTTTTTTCGCTGTTAAATATTTCAGATGATTTGTCAGGAAATCAAATAACAAACTCGTTTATTAAACTTCACACGTAGGATTTGGCAGCCGATAGCTGACCTGAAGATGTTTGACGCATTTGCAGGCGTTAGATCGCGGGTCTAAAAGCTGCAGTTACATGTGAGAATTGTTCTGAGTGGAGCATGAGCAGAGCATGAGCTGAAACAATGATAATTATTGTTTCATTATAATGGCAATTATAATTGGCATGTTGTGTGTATACACGACTCTTTAATTCGCTTGGCTGTTGTTGGGTATTGGAGGATTTCTCAATTGGGTCATTCCGTGGCCTAACCCAAAATCAATCGTGAAGTGGTGATTCAGGTGGTGTGTAAATCTACCTTTTGTCCATTAAAATTAGTGCTTTAAAGATTGTCTATCAGAATAATTTAGGAGTGCGGTGATTAAATGACGTCCTCCTTTTCATAGGCAATTTAATTTGCATGTGTAACTGGCAACATGTGTGTTGTAAGCATGGCACAACGGTCGCAATGATTGTGAGACTTGTATCACTGAACATTCGCGTCATTGCGGAGAATGCGATAGCTGCACTTTAATGCCGCGTGTTTCTATTTGCAGTTGAAATGCGCCAATTGTGGCGAAGTTTCTGACAAGTGGCAGTACATCTCCTTGCAGGTCTGTGAAGAGCTGTCCCGAGTGCCTCTTGCACGTGTGCGCGCGTGTGTGGTTGGTTGCGCTGCACCATGAACCCGGTGACCGAAGGTTGATTCCCGCCCGCCCGCTCGCACCATAATCAGCGGCAAATGTCTGAACCGGTGCTGGTGGGCTTCGTCTGGGTCAGAACAGCCTTAAATGATTACCCGAGTTCCATGAGTAAACACAGCAACACTGTGGACACACAGGCGGCCAGGCGCGGTGCCGGCCACGCCGCCCCCTCGTCGGAGTGCCGTGCCGACCTTCATCAGTGCCCGCTAACAGCACTTAACCCACCAGCCACTATGGGGAATCTTTGTTTTGGGTCACGCTCCGCACCATTCACTCGACAATCTGGGATCAACTATGGGCGATGGCTAACATCAGTGGTGAGGGGTACCCAAACCTATCGCGTGCCTTCATTAAGTCTTGACTGGGCCCCCAGTGAGTAACTGTGGTACAGTGTGTCAGGTTGAGCACTAGGGCACTATTACCAGCTTAGCATGGTCCTGGCCACATTTGGATATTTTTTGCCAATACCAGTTACATTGTTTTGTTAGCTATGGGGTGGGGGGGGGGACGGAGAACCCCAGAGGAAACCATGAAAAACAGGGAGAGAACTTATAAACGCCACACAGAAAGGCATCGAAGTCGGGAATCGAACCCAGGCGATGCTTGCTGTAAGGCAAGAGTGTTAACACTGCGTTGCCGCCCTGCCGTGTGTTTTGTGCCCTAGGAGAGCGCACCACTTAAGGGTGGCCGTGGCAGTGCCAGCATGGTGCAGAAGTGTAAGCTGTGCTCACGCGAGAACTCGATAGGTGAGTATCCGTGACCAATTCCGTGCGTTTGAAGGATCCAATGAGCCGCTGATGCCGTGTCTCCGTGGGTCGCAGAAGTCGATGTCAGACTCGAGTTGCCTCTCTCGTTGCAACTCGTTTCTGCATTTTCTTTTGACAACTCAGGTTGGGCTGTGAATTACCTGGCCTGCTGTGTGAATTCGCTGGGCCATTCTCACTTCACAGGCTGGTCCGACTTGCTTAACGTCAGGATTTGGGCCTTGAAATTCCGAGTTTCAGCTCAAGTTGCCGTCACAGTTTCTGATTGTGTTTTTTCAAGTTCACTCGAGTTGGGTTGTGAATTTTATGGGCAGCTGACTTGCGTTCGCAATTAGCACTTGCCCCAAAAGTCATGTTATAGATATACCGTATAATCTTTGTCTTTGTGTGTGTGTGACCATTTATTTAGACATCTTAAAGGACTCCATGAAGCCATACAATGTGAGTCTAACACATTTAAATTCTCACCCACTAAAGCTTTTCACAGGTAAAGAATTAGTGGCAAATACCCTAAACTGACAAACACATACACACACACACGTGATGATGCATGTGGTGCTTCTACCATCTACTGGCAACATTTGGAAAATTAAAATATTGCTGCAAGGAACAACCATGGTTATGCTCCTTAAGTCAATTCTAAAACGTATTACCAACTGACCAAGTTGATAGAATTCGTGACAAAAAATGGTTGGCCGCAGGGCGACGCGCAGTTAAAAAAAAGACGCCCGGCTGTGAGCAGGGTTCAGCTGTGCCGTTCAGGACGTGCTCCGAGAGGCGTTAATGCTAAAACCTCACGTGGACGCGAGGCGCGATGTCACGGCGTCTCCAGTGAGAGCTCTGTCAGCAAGGGCAATGATGTAAACAATTGTCACCTTAGTGGAGTTTTTTTTTAAATTTTGCGTCAGCAATGGCTTAGTGTACTAAAATTATCGAGCGTGACAATGACTGCGACTACCCACCAAAGGCCAAAGCGTGACTGGCAAGATGTCGTTAGCGAGTGTATGAAGACGCAGACAGGTAATTTCGGAGCGTTATTCGACGCTCTTGCATGGAGAGCCGCGTTCTACACAGTGCAGTATCACTACGCACTCCACATTGTGGTTGAAGGTTTCACGGATGTCGGTCTGTGACGCCGAGACGTACGCCGTGTCAGTTTCCGGGGTCTCATGCCAATGTGGTGTCATTTTGTCGTCCGCGTTGAGCGAACTCGTGCTCTGCGTTCGGTGCGCGATGAAATATTCACGAGCTAATTTTAGACTTGGCCATTTGATTGCAATCGGAAAAACATACTCTCTGATTGTTGAACATGCGCTTCTGCTATTTGTCAATCCACCACTGGATGAGATCCCACCTACACTATGTGGGATATTGGACCGTATTTTTACGGTACAGTGCAATACAATATCCGGAGGCCCTTTTGTCCGCGAGCCGCTCAGTCGCCGCTGTGCCAAGGGCAGAGAGCGATGTGGGTGGCGGTGGTCGTGCCGTGTGCAGGCCGAAGACAGCGAAACCTTCAAGACCGTGGTCGTCTTTGAGTGCCGTGGTCTCGAGCCCGTGGATTTCCAACCGCAGGTGAGGGAGCGTGCGAACGCCTACCCGAGCTCGAGGTGATTTTCTCTGGCCAGGTGAGAACTCGAAAAGGGCAGGATAGAGGAGTCTCATTTGCAAGAGTGACTGACCTGGGGTCACCAAAAGGACAATAGCAATAACCTTCAAACTAAGTCCAGCAATGAAGCAAACTGAAATCGGAGCGAAAACAACCGCTTTTCAGGAGAAATTAAAACGGTGTGGAAACGTAAATCACCATGAAATAAGATAAATGTGTGTGTGTGCGTGCCTGGCACAAGCGCCGTGGTGACGTCACCGCCACTTAGTGGCGAATGGCGGTTGTTGTTGTTCATTGCTTGAGTGTGCGTGCGTGTACTTTTTCGAGTCCCGTTCGCTGTCAGCATCAGTGATGAATATCTGAACAGGTCCCAGGCCCTCCGCCTTAGGTAGACTCAGCCTTAATTGAGTGCCTAGTTCAGCACGCAAACATCATAATTGTGGAGACAAAGGTGGCCCGGGCGTGGGTGCTAGCCACACCACCCCCTTGACGTGCTGCTGTGGCGACCTTCACGGGTGGCCGCTACCGACGGCCTGTCAGTAGCGGTGACTAGCGCGGGGACGCGCGGCTGTCGTCGTCGCCACGTGTTTCTGTGGGCGTCTCGTCGTTGGCCATGACGCTTCTTACACTCTGCTCGCTCAGGCCGGATTCGCAGCGGAGGGAGCCGATACGCGCACACAATTTGGAGACATCAACCTGCAAGAAAAGGTAATTCTAGTGCTTATAATCGTAAAGGGATTTAATTTACTTGGCCAGGAATGGCCCGATGAGCTGTGTGGGGGCCCTTATTATTTTATGGGCGTCCTGCGACGGTGAAGGTGTTGTTCGGTACGGATCTTCGTTCCAATCGCGGTTGCGTTGGTCGCGATGCGAACAGCGAGTACCGACACGTGCTGTGCACGTCACGTTTAGCTAGACGAGAGCCGTTGTCACGGCGCGAGGCTGGCAACGAAAGGTGCTTTTGTGTTCGACAAGACGAGAAGCGTGTGCCCGGAAAGCCTCAGTTGAGCCCCGCCTCTAGAGGGTACTGCCAGTTGTCGGCAGCAGGGGGCGACGATTGCTTTGTTAAAATCGCAGCGAAGTAATTTGCGGCGGTCATTTTTTGTTCAAATTTGGTCTACTTTTCTCTTTGAGCGACGTGACGGGATACGCTTTTGGTTCTTTCGGTGAAGTCACGTGGGTGAAAATAAAAAAATAAGTTGATCAAATCACGACGTTTCGGAGGCAACACAAGCTTGTAACTAGCACGGCAAAATCAGTTACACGCTTGTGTTGCCCCCGAAACGTCGCGATTTGATAAACTGTATTTTTTTATTTTTACCCACGTGACTTTACCGAAAAAAGCCAAAGAGTATGGATCATTGCAGTCACGAGAACTTCAAATCTAGACGTGACGGGATCTTTAGCGTTCACCGTGAAGCACGTCCTATTTCGTGGTCTGTACACCCGCTGATGCGGAAGTCGCAGCAGATTCATGCGTGCACGTACAAACTCCCAACGGATGCGTGTATAGTTTAATTTGTTTAACCAGATGAGAACTCAAGAGACCAGAATGAGTCTCATTTGCGAGAGTAATTGACCTGGGTTCTCACAAATGGCCAAAGCAATAATATAAAAGGAAATGTTAAATCATAGACGCAAATGGAAATCGGAGCCAAAAACAATGGTGTCACGGGATAATTCAAAGCCAATTGCACAAACACAAATCGGTATGAAATAAAATGTAAGTTGCGTGTGCACAGAACACAACGCAGCAAGGAAGACGAAACTAAATTATGGAAAGCAATTGACAGGCGAACTAACACTGCAGGTGGTTACCCAACTTTACAAATTACAATGGAGAGTTACAATTTAAGTCGGTCAGAGGTTTAACACGTTTGCTGCATTTGCTCCTCTGATTTTGTTGGATCTGACTTCAGTTTGTCGTGGACTTTTCCACGGAAAATTTTAGGATCAATATGCAGAGACGCCACACGTGAAGGTGTTTTTACAGCGCAGTTGCCGTGTTCGTAAATTGATTAATTTCCAAACGATTGGTAAAAAAAACGTTACCACGACTTACGTTTAGATGGTTCATGAGTGCCGTTCAAATTTTTTGCGAATTCATTGCCATGGCTTGCACGTTTATCATCACGAAAGCCTAATCGTGGTGGGGTTATCTGGAGCGCCCATATGTGTGGCGTGTTCAGCACTGGGGAGACAAAGCTGACGGGGGCGTCGTGGCGCTGGTCACACCACTCTCTCGTGTGCCATGTCGGCCTGAACAAGTGCGTTTGTGTGCGCGCGTAGGGAGCGGTAGCACGACTGCTAGCGCGCTGCGCTATGAACCCGACGTCCCGAGTTCGATTCCCACTCACGGCCAAAACCAGTGACGATTATCTGAACCGGTCCTGGGCCTCCCCTAGGTCGACTCATCCTCAAATCAGTACCTGGTACAGCGTGTGAACATCGCCACTCCGGAGACAAAGGCGGCCGTGCTTGGTGCTGGCTCCCCACGACCTCGTGTGCCGCGTTGACCTTTCGTAGCTGCTCGCTAACAGTACTTGCCCCAAAAGTCTGTTAAGGCTTTAGGGGGGTTCTGTGTGCGTGTGTGTGCGTGAGTGAGTGTGCATGAGGTCTGTCGTGCGTGCCTGTGTTTGCGCGATTGTGCTTGTAAGTGCGTCTTTGCGTGCGTTTGTGTGCGTGTGAACGAGCGGGTGGCGCATTGGTTGGAGCGCCGCGTTACGCACTCGTGGCTAACATCGGTGGGGAGTGATAACCAGTCCAGGGCCTTCCTGTAGGCCAAACCCAGCCTTTAATGAGTACCAGGTGCCGTGTGCAAACAAAAACAGCACTGGGGAAACAAAGGCAGCTGGGCAAGGCGCCTCTGGCCCCAGTGCCTATCAAGGCCAATCCGGCCTTGATAGGCGCTCGCTAACAGCACTGTCCCAACAGCCTGTGGGCTATGCTGGGAGAGGGATCTGTGGGTGTGTTGTTACTGGGGGTGTGTGTACTCAGCGTGTTTACGTGTGAGCACCGGGTGTGTTGTGTACTGTGTTGCGTGTGTAAACCGGGTGTGCGTGCCGGGTGTGTGCGTTCTGGCTGTGCGTGCGTGTAAACCGGGTGTGCGTGCTGGGTGTGTACGTGCTGGTTGTGCGTGCGTGTAAACCGGGTGTGCGTGCCGGGTGTGTGCGTTCTGGCTGTGCGTGCGCGTGTGTGCGCTCACACTCCCCGTGACTGTTCTTCACAGGACTGGAACGATTATGATGAGAAAGCCAAAGAATCGGTCGGAATCTATGAAGTCACCCACAAGTTCGTGAAGGCCTGAGGCCATTTCATGGGGGAAGAAATGACGCATTTGTTCTCGAACTTTTGAGTGTGTGCATGTGTGTGTATGAGTGTGTGCATATTGTGGGGAGCGGTGGTGTAGCGGTTGGCGCGCTGCGCTACGAACCCGGTGACCCGAGTTCGATTTCTGCTCATGGCCAACACCAGTGACGGTTATCTGTATCGGTCCTGGGCCTCCCCTAGGTCGACTCAGCCTCAAATTAGTACCCGGTGCGGTGTGTAAACATCGTTGCTAGGGAGACAAAGGCGATCGGGCGTGGTGTTGGCCACCCACCTCCTCGTGTGCCGTGTCGGCCTTCAGAGGTGCTCGCTAACAGCACTTGCCCCAACAGTCTGTTAAGGCTATACGGGGGATCTTTGTCTTTTGTGCGTGCATGTGTCGTAAGGAGCGTTGGCGCAGTGGTTAGAGGCGCTGCCTTACGAACCCGATGCCCCAAGTTCAATGCCCGCTTGCAGCTAACATCGTTGACGAACGTCTGAACCGGTTCTGGGCCTTCCCTAGGTCGATTCAGCCTTAAATGAGTATATGGTACAGTGTGCAAACATCAGCACTCGGGAGACAAAGATGGCCGGGCGTGTTGCTGGCCACTCACGCCCTCGTATGCCTTGCTTGCCCCAGCAGTTTGAGGCTAAACAGGGTGCGTGTGTGTATATATATGCAGGAGTAATGACATTGGTTGATTTATCCATGTAGACCTTTGAGAAGGAAAAAAACCGTATATTTGTAATTGCGTGGGGTTAACCAACTTCAACGATTACATTCAATCCCCATAGCATTGCAGTTTGAAACTGGCCATCGGATTTGATCTGCCAAACGTGTAATCTTCATTACCGTGTGGAATAAAAACATAAAAATGGGATTTTTTTTCTGCATTGTGTTTTTGAAAGAGAGCTGATTGTCACGTTGGGGAAATTGTGTTTACGTCCGAGAACACCTCTACCTATAAATACCCCGGCCGGGATGACGACTGAAAGTGCAGTTCCGGGAATGGAGCCCAGTGGGGGAAACTCCACGATCCCCGCCACCAAGTCGCAGCCTGCTCATCGTCGTCATCGTCGTCATCGTCGTCATCGTCCTCACCTTACTGCTGCCATTCAACGCGCGCTCGATGCCTCGAGCTTCCTGGCTGGCTGCTGGCTGGGCTCCTCTCCACCCTGCGGACCGCTGTCACTGCAACTGGCGCGGGGTAATTGGCTACAAGGGGATTTTTTTCCACGTAACAAAATACAGATTGAGTTGAAACGGCAGAACAAGAAGTTCAGAAGATTTGATTTTGATAATAATTATAAGATTACAACACCGACGAGGTGGGAGTAGCAAATACAGTTGACCGACTCGGTTAATTTAAAATCGCTCTAACTTTACAATGCGCTCCTATTCATGTAATTATTTTGCCCGAATTAATTTTATCCTAGAGAATACAAAAACCCTCACTATACATTGTCTTGCCATTTTATCATGATGTAAAACAGCCCTTGAATGTGCGGGGCCCGTAGCATGTGTAGCTACTTCTGCTGCTAGGGTCATCCGGCATGGCTGGCTGCCCTCATTCCAAAGGAGATTCCCAATAAAACAAAAATTCCCACGTTAACCAGCTCCCTCCCCCACCACCACCACCACAGCCCGCGCTATCGATCGATCGGCAGGGTTGTTGGTGCAGGGGGTTGAGGGGTTTGGCCGGGTGGGTGGACTGTGTCGTCTGCCCGTGGGCCGTCGTGGCTTGTGGTCTGGTGCTTGGCGTGGCTCCCACGTTTCTTGGAAGGAGCGATGAACGGACATTGTTACACACTAGGAGGAGGAGATCATCAAATGTTGCCGAGAAGCCATCGAAGAAACGTCGAGCGGCAGCAGCAGCAGCAGCAGCAGGACGAGCCACCCAGCGCCGCCTGCGTTACGTTTACCGTGTCCCTCGCCGACGACAGGTCGCTCAGGACACTGGACCCACGTTTCGTGCGAGCGCGCGGTCGGGGTTGAATCCAGTGCCGGATTATCCCAGTAGCAAAAGTAGCTACATATGTAGTAGATGCTGCGGGCCCCGCACTTTCAAGGGCGCCGCGCTAAATGCTTTCAAGCTATCAATTCCAGTTCAGTGATTCTGCACTTGCTCTTACTATAGTACTATTCCGCCTTCAACTTTACGAACGACTGCGTGTGTAAGGTTAGCGATTTGTCGTATTATCTGGCTGTATAGCAAATGAAAAAATACAATAATTTTAATGTGCAAGTTTTCAATTTGTGTTTTTATATTTACGCGGTTTTTTAAATTAAATTTTAGGGCCCCTTTATAACATCGTGCTACAGGCCCCGCACTAGCTTCATCCGGCACTGGTTGAGTGTGGAGGTCGCGCAGAGGCACGGCCAGAGAATTGTTTTTTTTTATTATAAGAAAGGACGCTGGCGAGGAAGGTGCGAAAAGGGGTGACAGGGGAATTGGAGTTGGGGGGGGACCCCCAGAAAGTAAAATGTTGACGGAAAAGAGGAGTGTAGGGGGAGAGCGTCTACACGGGGGTGGGAGACAACCATGGGGAGGAGTAAATCGGTGAACGCGGGCAAGACGGAGCGTGGTGGGTGCTCGCCAGGACTGGAGTTTGGGAAAGTCTGCTCGGGCATGTTGCTTCTTCTTCCTGAGAATCCACGCGCTCCTCCTTCCCCCGTCTCTCAGGGCGGTATATCGCGCGCACACCCGCTCGTCTTTGCGCGCACTGTTTCGCTCGTGTTACATCCCCCACACGCATCGGTGCCCGCGTCCGTTGGTCTAATGGCAGCAGCGGGAGTAGTTGTTTCGGCTCGTCACGCATCGCACCGTTCGCGCTCGTCGCCCTCGTGGAGAGAGGACGACTCGGAGGCGCCCGGAGGAGGAACCACGTGCGGTCGGGAAGACAGCCTTGCGGGCGAGTCGGGAAGACAGCCTTGCGGGCGAGCCGGGAAGACAGCCTTGCGGGCGAGCCGGGAAGACAGCCTTGCGGGCGAGCCGGGAAGACAGCCTTGCGGGCGAGCCGGGATGCTAGCAACGATTGCCAAAGCGGTGTCATTGGACAATGAACGAGCGTTTAAGGAAACCGGAGCACCCGGAGAAAACCCGCGCGTGCGAGGGGGGAACACTCGATCCCATACACAGACGGGACGGGTGCGAGTCCACGTGTTTTCAGTACCGCCTTACTCCGAGCGAGCCAGGGCACGGCTCCTTGACGCCCACGGGAGAAAGAGGGGTTCGCAGCATCCGTGTGTGATCCACCAACCCCCGCTGTTACCTGCACACAGTGCGGGACTACAGCAGCAGCCACGCCACGGGGCAGCGTGGCCACCACCGCCCCCGTCTCTCGGTGTGGTGCCACGCTCGCGTCTCGGCTCGCGAGCCGATAAATAGTGACACGGGTCAAGACGAGGGCCCACTTCTCTCTCTTCTCTGCTCTCTCGCTCAGAGCAACGGCTGCAGCTGACCCCGAGTAGCCGGGTGCTGTGCGTGGAGTTGGCAGCTGTCTCTGTGTGTGTGTGTACACGGTCGGCGTTCATTTCGGGCGCCGCGCCCCTCCGGAGACGAACGTTTATTCGGTTTATTTAACAAAAACAAATATTTAGCATTATTATTTAGTTTGTTCACGCTGAATGCGTAACCGGTGAGTCTCTCTGCAAAAAAAAATAAACGCGACGTTCGCCGAAACAACGTAAATAGGAGCAACGCAAATCGAGGAACTATCTTTGTACGCGCGCGTGCGCGTGTGGGTATGGGGGGAGCGGTGGTGTAGCGGTTAGCGCGCTGCGCTATGAACCTAGCGACCCGGGTTCGATGCCCGCTCACGGCCAACACCCAGTGACGATTATTTGAACCGGTCCTTGGCCTACCCTAGGTCGACTCAGCCTCAAATGAGTACCTGGTGTGGTGTGTAAACATCGCCACTGGGGAGACAAAGGCGGTCGGGCGTGGTGCTGACCACCCACCCCCTCGTGTACCGTTCCGGCCTTCATAGGTGCTCGCTAACAGCACTTGCCCCTACAGTCTGTTAAGGCTATACGAGGGATCTTTGTATTTTGTGTGTGTGTGTGTGTGCACACAGACAAAGGCGGTCGGGCGTGGTGCTGACCACCCACCCCCTCGTGTACCGTTCCGGCCTTCATAGGTGCTCGCTAACAGCACTTGCCCCTACAGTCTGTTAAGGCTATACGAGGGATCTTTGTATTTTGTGTGTGTGTGTGTGCACGCGCGCGTGCGTGCGCCTTTTACAAATTGTCACAGTCGGGAACGCATGAGGTGCATCTGCCAGCCATCTCAGTCAGTCAACTCAGAGCCGCCAGGGTCTGTCCCGTGACCTCCTCCTGCCAGCGGCGACCAGCGCCAATTCCGAGTGCCAATTCTGCAACGGGCCGATGTAAAACACCCGGGGCCACGGGGTCTTCCTCTTGCCGAGCAAGGCCTCGCGATCGCCTTCGGCGTCACGAGGCCGTGGCACAAACTTTTCGTGTTTCGCTTCGCCTGGCGAGCGGCGTCTCTTCGTTGAACCCGAGCGGTCATTGCCGCCACGAGACCAGAAACTCGACAAATGTCTCGAGGTGACTTTTGTTGTTGTTGTTGCTGCGAAAGTTATACATTACGCTGTGAAGTATTCGCATGTGTGTTGTTTTATTTTGCACACGGCGTTGTAATACGGTGGGGGTTTTTGTGCGTGTGGAAGATTTGCTGGTTTTACCCAGGATCCATGCTCTTTGGTTCTATTCGGTAAAGTCGCGTAGGTAAAGAATGAAACGACAAAAATCGCGACGTTTCGGCCACAACACAAGTGGCCCTCATGATGTTTCCATTGCGCGTCGTCGCTTTGAGATGTTTCCCTGTTCATATTCTGTTTGTTGCGGCTGCACCCGACTCAAGGGCCGCTTGGCTCGCAGGGCTTTAACTAATACATGAAACTCGAAAACTTTTTATTTGTTTTATTTTTGGCTCATAGTCTTTCACAAGTAAGATCGCACCGAAGCGCTTTACATTGCAAACAAAATGTAATCATGAACTCAAGTAATCAAAGGGTGGACATAGATTCATCCGAGATTATAACGACGGACGACAGTAAGCGTGCAAACTCCGTGCTATGTGGAAGTACCATCACGGGAATTTACTAAAATATATAGTATTATTAAAAGCGTTAATGACACTGATCAACTGCTGATGGTGCTCAAGTTGATAGCGGTGCACAATGAACAACTCAGCGCAGCACGTTCAACAGTGCCGTGTGCGTTATCTGTAAAGGAAAATCAAATACCAAAAACATATATAAACCGTACTTACTTTAAATGCAATAGCACGTCCACTCAATGGGGATATCAAAGCACCGTACGCTAAAATAAAACGCAAAGACAATGCAATAATGTTTAGGTTCAAAGCCACGAGGAAATAGTGAGTTTATTTGATTTGAAGCTTTCGTGACTGCAGGAATCCATATTCTTTGGTTCTTTCGGTAAAGTCACGTGGTAGGTAGAGAAAATAAAATAAATCACGACGTTTCGGGCGCAACACAATCCAAGCGTCCGTGACTTTACCGAAATAACCAAAAATAGTGAGTCTTGCACGCCCTCCTAAAACCACCCTGCAGCTCGGAGCATGCCTTGGATCACCCGCCGGCAAAGGCGTTCCAGATCCTCGGGCAATACTTGAGAAGGCCCGAACCCCGTAACGTCGAGGCATGGGAGTGCAGTAGCAGGTCCTGCTCTGAAGAGCGTCGTCGAGTGTAAACTCCCGGTCGTGTGACGGATGAGTCGGGGCCCCCGGATGCATTGGTCCAAGAACCGTGCAGAGCGTCACTGAGCAGAATGGCTCACTTATACACTAAAGATACGTTTCAGGCGATGGCCCAATTCGTCTTCACCGCACGTGGATTGAGAGGCAGGAAAGGGAGACCGATGGACGATGACGAGAGTCGGAGACTGTACTTTGGAGAGCTTCAATAAAAAGTTTCATTTTTTAACGTGTCCCGATGAACATTGCTCAACTGGGAGTTCTCTCTCTCTCTCTCTACGCTTTGAAGGCGGTGCTGTTGACGAATTGCGCTGCGTTGTGTGCAGAGCGGTGATGTGTGGCGAGTGATACGATATCATTTACAAGAGTGCGAACGCTCGGTCGTAAATCAATGCGTCTCGTCTCCCGAAGTCGCACGCATTCTCTCTCCTCCCTCCGAATGCCCCTGCCAACGTCGCGAGGCTGAGCAAAGACAGAGGGCCCACCAGGGTACAGGTGGCAGTCGTGTTTTGGGATGCGAGTGTGACCGCGGGGGTTCAGATAGGAGCCCCGTAGCGATATTCTTACCGATATCCTTGGTTCGTCTTGGTGTGTGTCTTCGTGTGTGTGTGTCTCTCTAAGAATGTATGTCTGCCGATGTTGTTTGCCGTGTCTGTGTTTCCTTGGTGTGTGTCTCGCTCAGTGTGTCTTTGTGTGTGTCTCTCTCTCCTCATGTGTGTCTGCCCGTGTTATTTCCGTGTCTGTGTTTTATCTTTGTGTGTGTCTCGCTCGGTGTGTCTTTGTGTGTGTGTCTCTCTCTCTCTGCATGTGTGTCTGCCCGTGTTATTTCCGTGTCTGTCTTTTTTTTAATCGTTCATTCTTACCTGATGATGGTTGCTTGTGTTGCAACCGAAACGTCGTATTCTATTATTATTTGATTTTTTTCTACGTGACTTTACCGAAATAACCAAGGAGTAGTAGAGTCTTTCGGTAAAGTCAAGTAAATAGAAAACAAAAAATCCATAATAAAGGTTTTTGGGTTAGATCGCGTTATTTATAAATGTGTCGTAACCCTCCACCACCCGACACGGCCAATCAGCAAAAAAGTGTCACGTTGACAAAAGACAAATAATTCAGTACTTTAGCCCACCGGTGTGTTGAAGAGTGAATCCACAACATTTACAGTTTGAGTACGACGTTTCGCTGGTAATTACATCGAGCATCATCGGGCAATTCGCCCGATGATGCTGGTATCGGGTGGTGGAGGGTTACGACACATTTATAAATAACGCGATCTAACCCAAAAACCTTTATTATGAATAATATTGGTCGTGAAAGCCTACGTGTTAAACAAAACAAAAAATCCCCCCAAAATTTGTAGAATAAAATAATAAAATAAAATGAAAATAAAATTACAAAAAAATAAAAGCAAAAAACCCACGACGTTTCGATCGCAACACAAGCGGCCTTCACCAGTCGACCGATGCTTGACTGGCGTGTGACCACCGCCCTACCTCGGCGGTGGCTGCTCCGCTGGCAGAAGGGATTCGTGCGAGTCGTCGTGGTCGTGGTCGAGAGAGAGAGGCAGCAGCGGAGTTGCAGACCCGGGGGTTGTATTCGTGCTACACGCGCGGTGCTTGCGAGAGCAATGTTTACCGAGCCGCGGGAAAAAAAAACAACGATATGTATATAATCTTGATTTGAAGCTTTCGTGGCTGCAGTAATCCATATTCTTTTGTTCTTTCGGTAAAATCACGTAGGTATAAAATAAAATAAATCTTACAAGTTACATGCTAATTACTCAACATTAACATCACTAGCCCCGGGCACTTTATGACGATTGGGCTACATCCATTTCAAACCTTTTTAAAAACAGTCTGCATCAGCAGCAGACCGTGGCTTTCACACCTGATGATGGACGCTTTGTTGTGCGCCCGAAACGTCGTAATTTATTGTATTTTATACCTACGTGACTTTACCGAAAGAACCAAAGAGTATATATATAAAATTAAACTATTTAAAATAAAAACATAATTAATGGCAACATTGCCGCGATGGTTAACCTTGACCGAGCCGAAGGGCTGTTGCGTCGATAGCTCAGAATCTCGACGTCTTGTTTGCTTTACCAGCCGTGGTCGATCCACTGCTGGATGAAGGCTTCCATCCCTCCCAAGTCGCCGCCGCCTCCTCCTCTCGCGACGCCTGGCGGCGCGGCGATCCGCCCGTCGCCGCTCTACACACGAGGAGCGACGATTCCGTTTCCTGGTCGCTCCGTCTCCTCCACGGTGGTTCCCGACATCCGCCAGGACGCGCTCCGATTCATCGGCTGCCGCTCTCCCTTTATTATTATCGACCACCGTCGGAGTCCCTTCTGGCCGTGACGACGCGTCTCCCTGCCTCAAGCCCCACTCGTTTGTTGTCGTTGCTGTTGTATGAGCACTTCGGATGATGATGATGATGATGCCACTCACCCGCGTGTGTTCCATCTCTGCTGCCTCTCGGTCTAACTCCAAGCGCGCGTCTCTCCACAATTTATTTGAACCCTACCGCTGTTTATTTGCTCCGTGTAATTTTTGCTCTCGGGGCGTTCGTCGCTGAGAAGAACTCAGCGGGGCTTGCGCTGGAAGGGATGACGGGGAAGTGGTTGCAGTGTTTGTTGTGCCGATGGTTGTTGTCACATTCTTACCCTCGCCCCTACTGGACTTGTGTGACGAAGAGCTCCGTAGCTCATCGGATCTGTGCAGCGCCTAAATAAATATTCTGATTCTCACTACCGACGGAAAAGCTGCAGCAGATGCAGCAGCACTGGGATTGCCCCCCGCGTGCTAGAGGACGTAAATCGAGGAGATGGAGCGATGAGAGAGGGATTGTGACTTTGCAAGATCGATCGTGAGAGACGGCGATGCGAATTGTGACGAGGGGGGTTGTGGGGGGGTTCGTCTAGCAGTGAATAGATCGTGGCAGCTGATGACGATGATACTGGTGGTGATGATGCTGGTGGTGATGATGATGCTGGTGGTGGTGATGATGATGCTGGTGGTGATGATGATGCTGGTGGTGGTGGTGATGATGATGCTGGTGGTGATGATGATGCTGGTGGTGATGATGATGCTGGTGGTGGTGGTGATGATGCTGGTGGTGATGATGATGCTGGTGGTGATGATAATGCTGGTGGTGATGATGATGTTGGTGGTAATGATGATGCTGATGGGGTGATGATGATGCTGGTGGTGATGATGATGCTGGTGGTGGTGATGATGCTGGTGGTGGTGATGATGCTGGTGGTGGTGGTGATGATGCTGGTGGTGGTGATGATGCTGGTGGTGGTGATAATGCTGGTGGTGATGATGATGCTGGTGGTGATGATGCTGGTGGTGATGATGATGCTGGTGATGATACTGGTGGTGGTGATGATGCTGGTGGTGGTGATAATGCTGGTGGTGATGATGCTGGTGGTGATGATGATGCTGGTGGTGATGATGATGCTGGTGGTGATGATGATGCTGGTGATGATGATACTGGTGGTGGTGATGATGCTGGTGGTGGTGATAATGCTGGTGGTAATGATGATGCTGGTGGTGATGATGATGCTGGTGGTGATGATGATGCTGGTGGTGATGATACTGGTGGTGGTGATGATGATGATGATGATGCTGGTGGTGATGATGATACTGGTGGTGATGATGATGCTGGTGGTGATGATGATGCTGGTGGTGGTGGTGATGATGATGCTGGTGGTGATGATGATGCTGGTGGTGATGATGATACTGGTGGTGATGATGATGCTGCTGGTGGTGGTGATGATGATGCTGGTGGTGATGATACTGGTGGTGGTGATGATGATGATGCTGGTGGTGATGATGATACTGGTGGTGATGATGCTGCTGGTGGTGGTGATGATGATGCTGGTGGTGATGGGCTGCAGACCCTCCCCCCCGGTGAACGGAATGAAATCATCAACAAGTGGCGAGGCGTTACCCTTTCTGACAGTAATACCGGAGGTGTTAAGATGTTCGAACACTACATAGACACCGCTTGCAATGCGCACATCACCAAGAACGCGTTTGTGTGCATGCGCGTTTCATGTCACGAGACAATGTGTCATGCCTTGTGATCATCGATGTTCGAGCATCTTAACACCCTCCAGAAAGTGCAACGAAGCCCATTCGTCTTTGCTTGTCATCTTGATTCTGGCAGCAGCAGCAGCAGCAACAACGAAAGGGTGCCGTGCATTCAAATCAGATGGAGGCGCAGCGGGATGAGCGCGCTCACCACCGCCACCGCCACCACCACCACCACCACTCCGCGCGGCTCGCAGCCGCTCCCGCTGCTCGGAGGTGACCTCCTGGGGGTGGCTGTCGCTTTCCCCCTCCTCCTGCTCGCCGTGGACGTCGTCGTCTTCGTCGTCGTTTCTTGAGACGTCACGCGAACATCGCTGCACCCATCAGCCGTGAAATTATCAGCGGCGACGATGTCCATCACGGCCCTGGAACTCTTGAAGCAGGTCACGTTCCTCGGGTCGTTGGCCATGAGGCGGTTCATCACCAACTTGCCGTGGTCCCCGATCCACTTGCTCAGATAGAGGATCTCCCGGCAGTCGCAGTTCCACTCGTTCTTGTACAGGTGGACCTCTCGCAAGCCCTGCAGATGGTCCAACGTTCCGGCAGGCAGGCTCTCCAAGCGGTTGTTGTGCAGGTACAGGAACTTCAGGGACGAAAGCCCTTTAAACGCCCCCACGTCGACACGCGCCAGATCGTTGAACTGCAGATCCAACATTTGGAGGTGTCTCAGGGTCTGGAAGGTTCCGTTTGGGATCGTGCGCAGCGCGTTTTTGTTGAGCCAGAGCTTCTGCAGGAACCGGAGGGAGGAGAGACCCGAGGCGTCGAGGTTGCTGCTCAGGAGGTTGTTGCTCAGGTCCAGGCTGGTTGTGTTTTCGGGCAAGCCGGCGGGGAACCCTCGCAGTCGCTTGTAATTGCAGGCGACGATGCCACCCCGAGTGCAGGAGCAGTCCGTGTTGCACGCGGCGCTCGGCGAGCCCCGGGCGAGCAGAGATGCAGCCGCAACCGCGCCCCAACAACACCACCACCACCACCGCCACCGCTGGGTCCCGGCTGGCACCACCGCCGCCGCTACTGATCTCATAGCTCTGCTCGGCCTCCGCTGACAAAGGTCGTCCTGCCAACGAGACGTTTTTGTTTTTTTGAAAAAAACATTTTTTTTTTTACGGAGCGCAGGCCCAAAAGGGCCAAGCGGGCCAGCAAACAATGAAAGAGCTGCGCACGGAAGGCGTTCATAGATAAAGAGTGGAGCATGCTTCTTGAGTTGAGAAGAGGGTTGTTATCGTGAGAGGTTAGGGGGAACTAGACGACGACGATGATGATGATGATGGGAGGAGGAAAATCCAACGTGGAGCGATGCGAGCGAAGAAGCGGAGAGAAGGGGGAGGTGATCTGCAGTGTGGCGAGTGAGTGTTTGAGTATGTGAGTGCGTAAGTAGGTGAGTGGGTGAGTGAGTGGTTGGGTGAGTGAGTGGTTGAGTGAGTGGTTGGGTGAGTGAGTGGGTGGGTGAGTGGTTGTGTGAGTGAGTGAGTGGGTGAGTAAGTAATTGGGTGAGTGGGTGAGTGAGTGAGTGGGTGAGTGGTTGGGTGAGTGAGTGTGTTGTGACGTGCAGAGTGTGGTGGTTGAACACGGTGTGATGGACAAAACGCAAGAGTCTGCGTCTGCTGCACCGAGTCCTCAACACCGGTGGAGGAATCAATAAGTAAAGTTCAGGGCGACAGTAACCGTGGTAGTAGACAAATACGCTCAACGATTCTGGCTCTCACGTGTTCAGGTTCTCGTGTGCTCAGGCTCTCAGCTGTTCAGGCTCAACTGTTCAGGCTACGTACGAGGGACTCTGAGCTCTGGCTCCACGCTTCCGACTTCTCGATCGAACACTGCGTCCGATCCCTGAAATGTATGCGCGCGCATTATAAACCGAGTTTTATATATTTTTTATAATTATATTGTTTTCAACACGACAGTGCTCTTGTGAGAATCTTTCCCAATTATAGCCGCGTTTGTTTAAAAGTTTGGTGTTTTTATTTGATTTTCTTCAAACAAAAGTCCGTCAAAAGTCGAAACACGTTTTCAGGCAACGTTTCTCGAAAACCAATTTGCATTTTTGTAAATGTAACAATATTAAAATGAATAATACGAATAATAGTCAATTACAAACGTTTGTCAACTCGCTGCTGGATGTAAGGCCTCTTTTGTTCATGGGGGGTGGGGGGGGGGGCTGTTTGACCATACTTCACCACGGTGGGGTGAGTAGTGCAGATTGCTGAAGGGGTGGAAGCCACGATCCAATTCAGAGATCACTCCCCACTGGTTTTGGCCGTGGCCTGGAATCAAACTCAAGTAGCCCGGTTCATAGCGCGGCACGCTCACCACCGTAGCACAACGAGTCCGCATTTATATTTATTTACAACGACAAAAAAACACGTAAACAAACAATGATTTTTTAAAAATAAAAAATGATCAATTATGATCAATCATCCCGTTTAATATTAAAATACAAAAATGTATGTTTTGTCTTATTGTATAATCGATCACTTGGCTTAGCGATAGAGCGAGCGGCTCGCGTTTAGGAGTCGCGAGTTCAAATCTTAGTTGGAGGCGGTTGACCCGCCCCATCATCCCTCGCTCCGGGGACGATACAATGGGTACTGCTTTGCGGGGAAGTCAACAGCGGTTGTCCTATGGAATAGAATCGCCCCCTCCCATAGGAATGTAGAATTTGCACCACCAGCTCAGCGCTGACGACAGGAGCTGAGCACCGCTTGAATGCTCAAAATGTGTTCGCTTCAGCTCAACACGCGCCCTATTTAGTGTACGATCACACTTTGATTGTGCCACTTTACTAGTTACATATTTCTCTCGCTGTCTCCGTGAGCCGCGTCCTTTCCCAGAGACGATAGCGATCACGGCCTGCAACGCACTCGGCTCTCTACGAGGATATTTACTGAACAGTGCAGCATCACTCTCCTTCCAGTTCACTCCGATCGTTCGCATCGCTCGTGGGGAACTCAATTCGCTCTCTTACCGGCTGCGTGTGATACCTCCATTGTGCCCAGTCTTACCCCCGCGTTCTATACCTGCTTCCTTGTTTTAACATTCTACGTCCAATAAACCATAACTAACCCTTCTCTAATTATATTCTTGGTTCTTTCGGTAAAGTCACGTAGAAGGGAAATCATAAAATAATAAAAACTAAAGCAATAAAATTATCACGACGTTTCGATTGCAACACAAGCAATCATCATTATAATTACGATTCATATTCTGGCCGTGTACGCTGCTGCCATCCGTGATATATTTTGTGTCTGTCCATTAAATGACATCTTTGTAAAAACATAAAATCCGTTTGTGCTTCTACAGCTGGCTCGATAATTATCCAGCTTTAAAATCCACACAGGAGACGAGAACAGAGCCGCATATGGAAACACGGCATTATTCTCATTATAGATTTGAAGTTTTCGTGACTGCAAGGATCCATACTCGTTGGTTTTTTTGGTAAAGTCACGTAGGTGACTTGACCCAAAGAACCAAAGAGTATTATTCTCATTCTCGTCATTAATCACTTCGTATATATAAAAAATACAGCTCCAATTGTCGCAAATGTTTCTCTTTGCCAGTGCTACTCTTCCGTGTGTCTGTGTAACACACCTACGGTCCTGTCACTATAGTTAACCGGCTCCACGTGCCCAATGTTAGTGTCACTCTGATTGTACTTGACATTCAGGTATCATTTGCCTCTGTGCTATGGCCACACATACCGGTTTATTTTTTTACAGTTGATTGTTAGTATTTTAACTTGACTTTCAAACGTTATTTTAATCCAGCATGATTTTAAAATCGCTCTCGCATTCTGCTTTTCATACAATATAATATTTTCATACAATACCATCTGCATATCTCAAATTATTTCTATTTTTACTACGAATCTCTACGCAATGCAACTCCCCTCCCTCTCTCTCTCACAATCATCTTCCTATATCTACAGACAACAAACCAGGTGAAAATATCCACCCTCGCCTATCTCCCTATCGATACAAAAACAGACTGTAGGGGCAAGTGCTGTTAGCGAGCACCTATGCAGGCCGGAACGGCACACGAGGGGGTGGGTGGTCAGCACCACGCCCGGCCGCCTTTGTCTCTCGAATGTTTTTACACATCGCACTGGGTACTAAATTGAGGCTGAGTCGACCTAGGGAAGGCCCAGGACTGGTTCAGATAATCGTCACCGGTGTTGGCCGTGAGCGGGGATCGATCTCGGGTCGCTGGGTTCATAGCGCAGCGTAGCGCTGACCACTACACTACCGCTCCACACTATCGATACGAACACTCACTAACCATCAACTGCTGTTTGTTTCCAGAATTCTAGATTTAAAGCTTTCGTGACTGCTAGGATCCATACTCTTTGGTTCTATTGGGTAAAGTCACGTAGGTGAAAATAAAATAACAAAAAATCACGACGTTTCGGCCACAACACAAGCGGCCTTCATCAGGTGAAGGGACGAGACTGTCTGGAGGACAGCGCTGGAGTGAGACAGTCTCGTCCCTTCACCTGATGAAGGCCGCTTGTGTTGTGGCCGAAACGTCGTGATTTTTTGTTATTTTATTTTCACCTACGTGACTTTACCCAATAGAACCAAAGAGTATATTTCCAGAATTCACTTCTAGATACTGTATCTATATACATTTAATTGAAATACATGCCGCATATGATTAGAAAGTGTAGTTTTTACACAATGCGCCTTTAAAAAAAAATCTTATCCATGTTTATAGAGGACCGTTCTGCTCTTCGGCTTCATGTTAACGTTTCGCTAGATTTCATTCGAAGAATAGTTGCGCACGAATCTCTACGTTACCGACCATAGGACAAAGGCTCAAAACTGTGCGCACGGAAGCGTGGAGGTAGCGCACGCTTTGGGATTCCACTGCGGAGTCGGCGAGGAGAGAGAGAGAGAGGCCCCCTCGAGCGAGGCGAGGACGCGCGCCGCGTGCAGACTTTGCTGCTCGCACCGTCGAGCTGAGCGCCCTCGCGCCGCTGGCTCACGAACACGTGGCCCGGCTTGCAGTCCGGGTTGTTAGTTTGTTTATTTTGGTATAGCCCCTGTGAGCCGTTCGGCTCTTGAATCGGGTGCAACCGCAACAAACAAACAAAAAACAAAAACACGAACAAGAAAAAACATCTTAAAGTGACTATGTGTTGACTGTGCAAACAGAAAATCCATGAAAAAAAAACAGCAAAATATTCCTGAAAAAAAAGCACCGTACACCAACGCTGCGTGCTAAAAATCCCAGTGGGATGAAAGTCAAACAACAACAACAACCACAAGAAAGCTTAGATTAAGGCCATCAGTCTAACTCCGTACTACAACAAAACAAACATGTCCAAACCAAAAAAGTTTTCCAAACAACAACAACAACCACAAGAAAGCTTAGATTAAGGCCATCAGTCTAACTCCGTACTACAACAAAACAAACATGTCCAAACCAAAAAACGTTTTCCAAACAACAACAACAACAACCACAAGAAAGCTTAGATTAAGGCCATCAGTCTAACTCCGTACTACAACAAAACAAACATGTCCAAACCAAAAAACGTTTTCCAAATCACCAAAAGCTAATGCCATAATTGCAACGTAACAGTGATCACAGGGACTGTGAGCGAATTTTTTACAATAAACTACATAAATAACATGTAACACCAAATCCTCGAGCCATAGCTGGCTGCATGAGTTACTCCACAACAACAGAAGCATCGGTCGGAGTATCAGGCAGGCAATTAAAGTTAGGCCGGTCGATTCATGAGCGCAGTGCGTTTAGGACTATACGCCACTGCTTACACACACCCCCACCCCACTCACCCATACATAGGAACAAAGACAAATATCCCACGTGTAGCCTTCGACACCCTGTTGGGGCAAGTGCCGTTAGCGAGCATCTGTTCGCGAGCACACGAACGTACCTTGAGACGAGTGGACCGCCTGTTGAGCAAGTCGGAGAGCTGTGAATGTAGAGGCGAGCTCACTAATATCAACAACAACAACACGAATAGAATGATTCGTTATGTCGATGAATGTTGTCGCTGCTCGTGCAAAATTGCGTCGCACAATACGCTGAGCAGGAACGACGGACCAAGCTGGAAGGAAGCCAGGCGGATGAGCCAGCCAGCGCCGAACGATCGCTCTGCGGTTCTCTATATGTTAAGATGTTTACAGCCAATAAGTCACGAGCGTTTATACTGCGAGACTGCGTGAAAACTCCGCGCACGTGACAGGGGGGAAGTGGGGGGGCGCACTCTATCCCAAACAGAAGTGACAGACGACACTAATCCACACTTTTCTCGACTGTATTCTGCCGGCGGGCCTCGATGTCCACGGGAAGGGAGTCTCGCTACGCAGCGCAAATGTGCGCGGTGATCAACCAAACCTCTACCCGCAGTGCTGGATTAGGGGGGCGGGGGGGGGGGTACGTAGCCAACATTGCCCAGCCACACGGAACGCGCCCTAAGCCTCGACTGGAAAAAAAGCTACAGGCGACCCGCGTAATGGTGAGTCTCTGAGGTTTCGTGGCTTCAAGCCATTTCCTCCAGAGATGCGTTCGTGATTGTGCGCGCGCGCGCGCGCGTTAGGGGAGGAATGGCGCAGCGGATAGCGCAACCCAGGCAACCCGGGTTCGACTCCTCACATCCACAGCTATAACGGCGATTTGCGATTGCATCTCAACTGGCCCTAAGGTTGCCCTACGGAGGGCGAGGCAACCGTAAATGTATAGCCGCTGTGGGAGACAAGGGCAGCCGTGGTGTATCCACATCCCCTTTTAATTCATAAATGAACATCGCGATGGTTGTGTATTGGAGATTTTTTTTTGCAATGTACACCTACGTTGAGATGGAGCACGCGAATTCACCTCCACCCCCCCACCCCTCTCCATGTAACCTCGTGATGACCACTGTCGTGGCGGCATCTCCACTTCATCGGTCGCCGCGTGCGTCAGACCGCCTCGGTTCTTGTGCGCGCCCTCGGGAGCGGTCGGAGCGGTCTGGAATCGCTGACCAGGGTCCCTGTAACCTCTCGACCCATACGCACGGGTTCACCAAGCATTCTTGTACGGGTAAAGTTTCGTTTTCGGGTCCATACGACGGACAGCCGTTTCAATATGAGCTGGGGGGGAACTGGGGGGAGCTGGAGGGGGGGGGGAGCTGGGAAAGGGGGAACTTGGGAGGGGGGTGATCTGGGGGGGGGGGGGGGGAGCGCTCCCTGTGGGAGGGAGGCTGTGATGTGGGCTGCGCTGCTCAGTCTGACGTGCCGCGTTAAGTTTTAATATTCCGCGAAATTTTAAAAACTACGGAGGCGACTCGGCCGGACACTCTCCGTAAGTGTCACGGCAGTGGCACGCGACTCGACCGTGCATGAGAGAGCCTCCTCTGAGTCCAGACTCTAAGGGAACCCAGAGTCCCCCAGAGTCGTCGGACTCATAGGCGCAGCTCTGCCCAGCACGACTGCTCACGGACACGTGGCCCGGCTTGCAGCCCGGGTTCATAGAGCGCATGGGCTACAGCGTGCTCCTGTGCGCCGCCTTGAGCTGGCCGAACGTCCATCGCATTTGGAGGAGGAGACCTTGCTTCGCCGGCAAGACAACTGCTGCACCATCACCTACATCTGAAGCATTCTTGACAGCTGACCATCTCGTTGAAGGACACCCTGGGGCCTTCAAACCGCCCCCCCCCCCCCACCGCGTACACAAACCTCGGGCACCCTGGTCACGCCTATCGCGGCCCTTTGCGCGCGTGCGCTCCCTGACATCGCGTCGTGCTGAACCGATGTTCTCGGCCACCGTTTGGTGCGTTCGCGTCGTGACATCGCTGAGATTCGAGGGCTGGGCGCATTCTTCCACGCCGTTTTACGTGCTCTATAAACTTTGGGACGTGAAGGTCTTGCTATTGGTAATGATGAATAAAACAAATTAATACCCCTAGAAAACGAGATGGCAAGAATATAGAGAAGTGGACTAATATTTGATTACGAACACATGGCCACAGCAGCCATGCGCGGTACTGGCTACACCACCCTAGCAGGCAGTGTGCTGCTGGCCTTTCTTTGTAGGCGCTCGCCAGCGTCGCTTGTCCACCACAGCATGTGTGGGTGTTTATATCTTCTGGCCCACGGCAGGATCTGCATTCACGATTGTGGTCGTGTGAGCGGTGGCGCAGTGGTGAGCACGCTGTGCTAAGCCTCGAATGCAGTTGAAAGTTGAGGTTATTGTTGTTTAAAATTTTGTTTTCACGGATTCGCGCGGTCTCCTAATAAAACCCCTTTCTCGTTTCACTTCACTCCCCACACGCTCTCACACCTCTCCCCTCTCATCTGGCTCTCCTCTGGTCGGATGTCGCCTCTGCTCCAGCAATGGATGCCTCCTCCGTCTTACAAAGCCGCGCGCAGTCATCAACCTTCGATCCGCGGGAGGAGGTCGCTCCTTCTCAGCTTCTGCTCCCGCTGTCTGGAATTCCCTTGCGCTTGAACTCCTCCGGAACGAGACAGGTCCCCCCCCCCCCCCCCCCCCCCGCCACCCCCGACCGCTGATCGTTGCCTCCTCCCCGCGCGACATTTAGGTCACGAAATAACAAACCGTTTGGGGGGCAGACGGACGACCTCGTTCGCCCTGCGGTTCATTCGCCGTCAGTGTTCGGGGTGAAAGGCAACGGCGCAGCGCCCACGCAAGTTGCTCGCTCCGCTCGAGAGAGCCCCAGAACGGATGTTTGACGAGACGTCACGGAAGCAGGGACGGATGAAGGCACCGGCTTTAGGGGCTGTCAGCCCAGGGGACTCCCTGGGCTGCAGGGGCCTCCGGAGACGAAGTGAATCGTGATTTCTCTTGTGAATGCTGAATTTGTATTTGCTGTTAGCCTTGTAAAAACAAATACAATTTTACTTTTTCTTTAACTTTGTTTTCCTTTTGAAAATATTACCCGGTGGGGTGGGTGCCTCACAGTACCTGTAACGCAGGCGGGCTACAAAATCTGAATCCGGCACTGCATGGAAGGCGTGGATGTGCCCACACTTCGCCCCTGCCACCTCACGCCACCTGCCGATCATCGGCTGGTGGCAGGGCAAACCTTTACTGCGTTCACCGCTACGGCGGATGGATGCGATTTGAGTGAAGGCGCAATCATCGTTCCGACTGCCGCGCCCCGGCAGACGGAATCGAACCCGTGACCTCAGCAAGGTGGCTGCGGCTCTCCGTTGCAGCACAGGCGACGGTACCGCAGAAACTGTGGGATGAGTGCAGCAAACGGCCTCGTTTTTTGTTGTTTGTGGTTTTTGCCACGTGCCGACAGGTCAAGCAAACCTATTTGCGGTACATTTGTTGCGTGGTAAATGAGGACGCTGAGGCAGGTATTCGGGTAAGGGCTTGCGCCGGTTTATTAACAAAGCAAGTAAGTAAACACCAGGGTCCATACTCTTTGGTTCTATTCGGTAAAGTCACGTAGGTAAAAAATAAAACAACAAAAAATCACGACGTTTCGGCTACAACACACCAGCGGCCTTCATCAGGTGAAGGGATCAGGCTGTCTCGAGGACAGCGCTGGAGTGAAACACAGCCACGCTCAGACCGCGGACCTTTAAGCGCGGTCTGAGCGTGGCTGTGTTTCACTCCAGCGCTGTCCTCGAGACAGCCTGATCCCTTCACCTGATGAAGGCCGCTTGTGTTGTGGCCGAAACGTCGTGATTTTTGTTGTTTTATTTTTTACCTACGTGACTTTACCGAATAGAACCAAAGAGTATGGATCCTTGCAGTCACGAAAGCTTTAAATCTAGAATAAACACCAGGGGTTGGTGTCCTACACTGACTGGGTCCTTCTCTTGGACCCTTAGCTCTCTCTACTGCTAGCCTACTGGCTGTCTCTCCTTCCATGACTACAGCAGGCTTCTCCAGACTTCTTCAACTCTACCCCCGGCTGTCTCTACAGCTGCCTTCAACCGCTCTCTATCTCCGACTCCTCCAACGACCCCGCTTTCGTCACGGGGCCCCCCCCCCCCCCTTAAGTACCCCCAGGTTACATGACGTCATCGCACCTCACAGCGCGTATGACGTCACGTCCCCATTTTACTCCTCTACCCATATGTAGGGGATGTTCGGGACATCCTCGCACACAAACAAACACCAAACACAGACCATTGAAGCTCTGTCGTCCCGACAGTTTTTTGTTCCATCACCTGAAGTAGGCTACTTGTGTTGTGTCCGAAACGTCGTGAGAATTTTATTGTCTCATTTTATTTTATTTTGTATTCTCACCTTACGTGATTTTACCGAAAGAACCAAAGAAGACAGACCGCGTGTTGAGGGTCAGGGGTCACGGGAGCACTGACCGTGCACGACACGCGATCCGATTATAGAGTGGCGTGACGCTCTTAAAGGGAATCGAGTTGGAGAGTTCGCGGTTGGTTGTTTTTTGTTGAATAACGAGTGGAAGTGCGGTGTGAGTTGGCGTCGAGAATAAAGGCCCTTATTCTTTGGTTCTATTCGGTAAAGTCAAGTAGGTAAACAAATAATTGGCTATCATTGGTGACAAGGGGGGCCCCATGGGGGTACCCTCATTTTGTTTGTAGAAGGTGCCATTCCAAGTGAAGTAGGTATTGGTGAGGCAGTGCCTAACCAGCGCAGGTGTATCGGGGTCTAGTCCATGTTGGACCAAATTTTCAATTATTTCAATGGTATCAGGTACTGGGACCTTGGTGAACAGAGAGACCACATCGAAGCTGACAAGGATATCGTCAGGGGACAGTACAACGTCTTTGACCATAGACACCAATTGGGCTGAGTTATGTACTGCTGAGATGGTCTTGCCAGTGAAAGGTAGCAAGATATCTGACAGAAAACGGGCTAGCCTGTAGGTAGGGGAGTTGATTGTGGATACGATGGGTCGTAGTGGGGTGCCTTCTCTATGAATCTTGGGAAGACCATAGAATCTAGGGGGTCTTACAGCAGAAGGTTTTAGGAAGGGACGTTTAGTTGGTTCGATTAGGGAGGTCGAACTTGTGATGGATGATCTTGTTGGTTTTCATCGTTAGGCTATTAGTAGGGTCATTTTTAATTTTTGAGTAACTTCCATCGTTGAGCAGGTTCTGGATTTTGTTGTTGTATGAATCTTTATCCATAATTACAGTAGCGTTGCCTTTGTCGGCTGAGAGGATGACTATATCATTTCTGTTTTTTAAATTCGCGAGTTCAGAGCGTTCATTTTTGCTGATGTTGCTAATGGGTTTCTTAACATTCTTAAGAATAGTGGCTATTTCAGCTCTCGCAACGTCTGCTTGGATGTGTCCTACGCCTTTGAGGGCTACATCGACCTGAGAGATGATATCATCTATTGGTATATGTTTTGGGGTGACAGCAAAATTTAGTCCTCTAGCCAGTACTGTTTTCAGATTGTCCGAAATCGGGGTGCTTGTTGTTTTATTTTTTACCTACGTGACTTTACCGAATAGAACCAAAGAGTAATGACGATTTTGTTAACGTCTAGTTTTGTTATACGTGGAACTGGGTTCTTCTTT